TACTATTTCAGCTACTATTTAACTGTTTTATGTTAATTTAAGCTTTTTCCGCTAATTCCACATTTTTTACACTTTTTTCAACTTTTTTCAGCCTAATTCAGCAAAATGTGCTCTCTTCACTTCCTTCTGGTAATTTTTTTCTGCTTTTTAAGCTACTTTTCAGCTGGATTTTTCTTTTTTTGGCTGCTATTTTCAGCTTTTTTTTAGCTAATTTTCTAATTTTTGTGCTCATTTCTGCTTATTTAAACCTAATTCAGCAAATATGTGTTATTTCTTTCTTCTGTTAACTTAGACTTGTTCATTGTACATTTCAGCAACATTTCAGCTTGTTTTTAGCTAATTTCAGCTGTTTTTCAGCAAGTTCTTCAGCAATAAGCATTCATGCTGCATTTTCACAGGAAATGTAATTTCTCTAGTTCTTTCTTGGGATAATAACGGAGAAGAATCAGCTGATGAGTTGCTTCTTACATGTTGTTGAAACTTACCATGGTGATCCAGCAGAGTACAAAAACTTGAGTTTCAGCTCAACGTAGTTAACGACGCAGGTAGTATTGTACCCTTCAACGTGTACTTCCTTCATGTGGTGCATTTACCTCTCAGCTGCATCTGATCATCGTTGATCGTTACTTTCCCCATCGTTCCCTCGAAGCGCCTCCATCTGAACAAAGCTGGGATGAGGTTTTCATTCTTTCAGCACCGTGAGAACGACTCTAGAATGTTGGGTTCAACCAGAACCAGGATGGACCGGGGAGAACTGGAGCAACTTTGGTGGCACTTTGACCTGTGCTGCTGTTCTGGTGCTCTTCATCTCAGCGCAGCACACTGATAGTGAGGACCAACAACTCAGAACTGAGCTTCCAGCTGCTGCTGACCCTCAAGTTATGTTTCTTGTACGCTGCTGTTCATTTGACGACCCAGAATGCATTTCAAAAACAAAGACTCCCCCCATGTACGCTTTCTTGCACCGGGCAATCTCGCCCTTCGGTGGACACAGTCAGGATTTGGGAAACCTGTAGCAAACGTTCCCCGAGAACATTAGAAAGTGGACCTACAGAGATCTCCCGTCCTCAACTGCTGCTTCACAAACTGTTAATATTTTTCTCAGAAGTTACAATTTAAAGTTTCAATTTACCTCTCCCTCATCAAAAATCATGTCACACTGGTTTAAAACCAACAAAGTCCATGCACAATAATCCTTGTTGACATGACTGTTGACGAGGGAGAGGGCCGGCACTGGAGGAGGGGGCGTGCCAAAGAGACCATCTTGGCACCAACAGAACTGGTTTGTTCCACTTTGGAGTAAGCTGTTTGGGGGAAGAATCAGTTTTGTGTTGTGTGTTTCCTTGACTGATGAAGCCTTCTGGATGAAAGGTGAAACGTTTCAGCACAAAAAAAAAAGAAACTGTCCAGATAACTTGACTGAAAATAGTTGGATTGTATACCTGGATTGTTGAGCATGGACTTTGTTGGTCAGTAACTCATTGATCGGACCGACCTCCTCTTTTTATCCATCAAGTACAACATCTGACCTGTGGTGTCTTTTTTTTTTTTCAACCTGAACATAAACACAAACCCAACACTAAACAGAGCCTGAACCTATAACCAGATAAAGTCCACTCATTTCTGTCCCAAGATTACCCAGAAGGCCGTGCAACTCACACAGTCTCTTGATTTAAAGTACATGTGATTTCAATAATCCACAGCGACCACAGATTCTGTAAAATGTGAAGCCAAAACACCACTTTATTAAATGATCAATAGAAACCTAAATGTGATGTTTGAGCATCTCGAGTTATCACTCCTCAAACAGAAATATTGTGTTTGTTGCTTAACTTTAGGGATTTTATGTGTGAATAATTTAAATAATATGCCCACTGTCTGTATGCAACTCATACTTTAGTTAGTATTTATTACAAGTGAAGGGAAATTCCAAAAGACAAAGTCCACACTGCTGTTGTAAAACTGGACACACTATACGAATCACTTAAAAAAAAATTAAAAAAACCCTCTTTCCTGCCTGTAGAACAGGAAATGACCACGTCTTAAACTTATTGTCTGAACACGTTCAGGCAGGTTCTAACAGCCATTCTGACTGGTATTGTTCTACAGGAAATAAACTTTATCCCTCTCTCTCTGTACACACGATCAGAAGGTTCTGGAAATGAGCCCGGCGTGGAGTTTCCCTGTCAGGCCTGTGTGTGTTCAGCCCAAGTGAACGGTGACGGAGCGCTCGGGTCACACACATGAAGTAACCGAGCGGACACCTGGGAACGATTCTCCAAGCAGCAGCTGCTTCCACCGTTCAGTGAAAACAGCGTTCGGTTATTTCTAGTCAACAAATGTTTTGAAATGAACGTCTTCAGCTGTGCTCCGCAGAGCTGGGCTGAATTTAAAACATTCAGGCTCTCCCAGTTTGTCTCAATCTAAAGGTTTCCTGAACTCAAGTGACCTGCTTTGGTTAATGCACGGTTTTGTGGCGTAACTTTGAAACGGTGACTCATTTAAAGTGGTTATTATTTTTAGACAAAGGCACATTCTAGTTTGAGAGTTTCACTCGTTTCCTGAGGACAAGTTCTTCAGGATTCACAAATAAAAGCTGACATTTAAACATGAGACGCAGAAGAAAAAAAATTCATGCAGCTGCCAATACATTGTAAAAGTGAAAGTAGCTTAGTACGACGGAGCTTTAGGGCCACGCTAAGAAGAATAAATAAATTAAAAGCCATAAAATTACGAGAATAAAGTCGTAGGGGACTTTTTATGTTTTTTCCATGAGTCTGATCCACGACGCGACCTGTCAATCAATCCAGTAGGCGTGTCAGCAAATGACCGATCCGAAGCTAAAGAAGTCGTAATATTATCCAAACTCCGACACGGTTACCGCATTTTAACTGGTAAAATGAAGAACGTTGAGCATCTTGTTAAGTTATACTTTGGTACTGGTTTTACAAATAAGGAAATAATCTGTTAGCACATCAGCATCAGATTATTATCAGTGTCAGGACTTTGAACCTGCTGACAGTGAGGTGGTACGCTCTGATGGGCTGCAGTAGGGGTGCGAATCTCTCTGTGTCTGGCGATCCGATTCGATTCAGATTTTTGGCGTCACGATACGATTCAAAATAGATTTTTCGATTCTGAAACAATTTTTCTATTGAAATTGTTATAAATTTTGTTTCAATTATGTAACTGACAAGCTGAAAAGATTAAACAACAATGTAAACAAATAGAACATTTATTTAAAACAATAATTTTAGGTTCTTTACTGTATCAAATCTTTTTGATTCATTTTATATTTATACCAAAAATAGGAAAAAATATAGGAGTGCATAAAATTCTGTTACTTAAATTACCAGTATTAGGTTCGCTTAGTTGCCTGAATTTTTCTAAAAAAATAAAAATAATAATTCATCCATCCATCATCTTTATCCACTTCTTCCTTTTTGAGTCACTGGTGTCACTGGTGCCCATATCAGCCATCACTGTGTGAGAGCGGGGGACCACAGGTCTCCAGTCCATCACAGACAAATAATTCAAAATATATAAATATAAAAGTAAACAGACTTCAGCCTACCCTAGTATATTAACCTTTAACTCAAAATAAAATACAGACTTCACAGTTAATTTTAACCATATTGCTCTAACATTTGTTATATTTTCAAAACTTAACCTAATATGAAATATACAGACTTCACAGTCTTAACCGTATTGATTCATTGGCTAACTAGCTTGCTGTACGGTGGCCTACACAGCTCAATTCTACGGCGGCTGAACGGGGAGTAGGAGCGGAAAAAATATAAAACTTAAATGCATTTTAAAATCGATTTATGGACCTTTAGAAACGATTCAGAATCGCCAGGACTAAGAATCTAGATTCTTTGAAAAATCTATTTTTTTTTCTGCACCTCTAGGCTGCAGTGCAGCTCTGCAGGTAACAAGCATTTAGCTTCGGATTGGTCATTTGCTGACACGCCTACTGGATTGATTGACAGGTCGCGTTGTGGATCGGGCTCGTGGAAAAAATAAATAAATAAATAAATAAACGAGAGCTGGAAAAAAAAAAGTCTCGTACGACTTTATTCTCGTAATTTTATGGCTTTTAATTTTTTATTTTTTTTAGCGTGGCCCTAAAGCTCCATCGTAGCTTAGGAACGTATCAGCTAAACAAATAATAAATATATACTATACACTCATTCTGAAGTTCCTACATCTCTTTTATCTTTCTCCTTTTTGTCCGTTTCACAGGAAACAACAGAAATTTCACTTGCGTTTTATTACTTCTTTGACATAAACACACGAGGACACGAGGGCAGAGTTGGACGTGTGGCCAGTAGCGAGTGGTAGTTTGAAGGCTTGAGGGCGAAACTAAAGAACAAACACGGCCACAAATAGAACGAGGGCTGGTTTCTGTTATTTAATAAGTGCATCGTTAAACGAGCGCGGTGAACAAACGTAAAAGTCCCGTCCAAACAACTTTTCTGATTACAAATGATGTCATGCTGCCAACATCGTCTAGCAGGAAGTTATTTGGTTTTACCAAAAGCAAGCACGAGCACACGAAACAGACTGTATACAGTTTATCTGTCCATTTACTACGTTCTAAAAGCAGCAGTTTACAGAGCTTCTAATGGCTCCCAGGTTCAACAGAGAAGTTCACCAGTTCTCTTTTCCGTTCTCTGCAGACTGGATCCCATTTCTGTCTTTTTAAGATTAAAGCTTGCAGCATTTAAAGGAACGTTTTAGACAGGTACACCTGCTCCTGGTTGGTTTAGCCTCGACCAGCAAGGCTTTTAGGTTAATAAAAGAGGAGAAATGTGAAACTAGAATTACACAGTGCAAGCAGCTGGAGCCAAGTTGTTTGGGTTCCTTCAGTTTTTGGGACATGATCTGTTCCTGGTTCTTTGCATGTGGAAGTTTGACCCCAGTCTGACATTCAAAACTAAAGCAAGAGTTTCAAAAGAAGAGGGGAGAGGCGTCGTTTGAACCCGTCTGCAACGACCTCATAGCTCGTCCTCCGTCTTCACCTGCAACACGCCGTCCTGCGGTTCCGCTTGTGGATTCTGGTTCTCGTTGACCAGCATGTTAAACTGGATGTCGTTAAATTGGGAAAAGTCCTGTGGGTACGGGCCGAAGTTTGCGTTGTAGTTCAAGTCCATGCTGGCAAAGGTGGCGTTTGTGTCCAGACCCAGGTTGCAGGGTAAGTTTGGGTCGGACAGAGCGTTTAAAAATTCAGGGATCTCCAACAACTGATTGATGAGGAGCTCGTCTAAAGCGCTGGAGTCCTGGGGGTACTTGTCCATCTCCATCTGGACGGGGTGCTGGTTCTCACCTGGTGACGTGACGTTTGGAGTCGGGAAGAAACGGCTGCTCTGATCCAGTGGAGGCGTGGTCTCTGAAGAAGAAGAAACAGATTTAGTCAATAAAAATAGAGTTCATAACAGACCTGTCGTCAATGTAGCTTGGTACTAAGACATGATCATATTGAAGCCGATAATCAGACGTGGAACAGCGTATTAAAACAAAACGTGTTATTGTGTGAATGCTATTCGTGATCCTTTTTATATTCATTATGATTCCGGGTTCTTTAAACTATTCTGTACGTTTTAAACATCTTTCTCGTTCCACAATTTTTGTGCTATTTCAACAAATCAAAAAGTTCAGCTCTTTCAGGAGAAGGGTGCTGTGACTTTTGTTGTTAGTGCAACTTTAGCTTTTTGAAATATTTAGCCTTTTCTGGACATTTTTTTTCTCACAGAAAATGAATTGAGCTAATTTTACATCCTTCAACTTTTTAGATCTGTTCACAACCTTTGTGTCACATTTTGTTCCTTCAGCTTCCTTGTGCAAATTTAAACATTTTTCAGATACTTTCAGCTGTTTTTCAGCTGTTTTGTGCTCCTTTCTACTTAATTCTGCAAACCACAATATTTTTGAGCCACTTTTAACGTATTTCTGTTAATTTTAGCTTATTTTGCTCCCTTCAGCTTATTTCTGCAAGCTTAAAACTATTTCTGCTATTTTAGCTACTATTTAGCCGTTTTATGCTAATTTGAGCTTTTTCTACTAATTCAAAATTTTTTGCACTTATTTAATTTTTTTTCAGTCTAATTCAGCAAAAATTTGCTCTCTCCACGTCCTTCTGGTAATTTAAGCTTCTTTCTACCTTTTTAGTTACTATTCAGCTGTTTTTTGGAAATTTCCACTTTTATCAGATCATTTCCACTTTTTGTGTTCATTTCTGCTTCTTTAAGCCTAATTGAGCACAGTTGCCCTCTCTCCACTTCCTTGAGCTTCTTTCCGCCTTTTCAGTAACTTTTTGCTAATTTCAGCCTTTTTAGCAAATCGACTAATTTTTGTGTTAATTTCTACTTACTTAAGCCGAATTCAGCAAATGCGTGTTCTTTCTTGTTTCTTCTGATAACTTAGGTTTGGTCTTGAATTTCAGCTACATTTCAGCATGTTTTTAGCTAATTTCAGCTGTTTTTCAGCACGTTATTCTGCAATAAGCATTCACGCTGCATTTTTGCAGGAAATGCAGTTTCTCTAGTTGTAGTTTATTCTTCTTCTTTTGGCTGCTCCCTTCTTCAGGGGTCGCCACAGTGAACTAACTCACACAAAGACTTGACAGTTGTTTTTACACCAGATGCCCTTCCTGACTCAACCACAGACCACCGAGCTACCACAGCCCTCTGTGTGGAGCAGATGGCTGCCATCTAGGGCACCCAGGGGAGCAGACGGTGGTGTTAAGGGCCTTTCTCAAGAGCCCAGAGTGGGGCAAATGAGGGTGGAGACAAGTGTGGGCATTATTGTAATCAATAGTTTATTTATAAGCAAATAAAATATTGAAATAAAACTTGAGCCCATGTGGAGTAAAAGGCACCCTTACACAACATATGTAGCCATTTATTACTTCTTCATTCATGTTTCTGTGTTTTCCCGCAGTCTGTTGGGACAAAAATATCACACCACCACTATTCATCAAATGTAAAGTTGTTGTGAATCATTTCTAAAAGCCTGACGTTGAAATCAAAGGTCAACACCGACCTATATTCAAATACGTACGGCTGAGTCATCGAGCAAATATGTAGCACATCTACAAAACATCTTTCATAGCTGGAGTGACTTGTTACAGCAAGAAAACCATGTTCACAGAAGTGCCAGTGACTTAGTCTTGTTTTCATACGTCTCTCAATAAGTCACGTGCACAATGAGCAAGTCTGTCGGGTAGCACAGGCGTAAAAAAGGTAAACACAAAGCCCGGTTCTTGTATTGGACCAGCTGCTCGCTGTGACGGCTGAACAGATACGCATTCATGTTTGACTGAAAAGGAGCCGTTCAGTGTCTGATAGCCATTATTTAGACAGCAGGGTGTAATCCTGAAACTTTTTTGGAGATGCACTAAGTCACAACGTTGCTGCCCTTTAAAAATGCTTATTTTATCTTATTATGTATTTAATGCTGCTGCTTGAGCAGATTTGTTCACTTCATCTGTTATACTTTTAGCTGAAGCCAGGCGTGGGCAACATTTTTTTTTCCGAAGGGCCAAATCAAGGTATTTAAAGCAATCAAAATAGTACATAGATTTCCTCTAAGATAATCGGGAACACTTATTTCAGGCTTTCTCTTGCTGTAGTGAAGTTAGTATGCTTGATATAAATGTCTCCTCAATACTCTAGCAATATAAGACACATTCTTTGCAAACTGGCTCTTGAGACAATATGTTTGTTAAACAAATAAATAAATAAACACTGTATACTTAAAAAGGTTTTGACATTTCTTAATCCAAATGTTTTTGATGTAATTACTCAAGAGGTTTAATGTAGACTTAAGTTTAATTGATAAAATGCTAGCTTTCATCAAATTATTTAAAAGTTTTCTTTTTGAATTAAGAATATTGAGGGCTGGGTAGAGGTTGTCCAAGGGCCACTTTTGGCCCTCGGGCCATATGTTGCCCACATCCGACTTCAGCCATGCCAAGCAACAAAGTCTTCCTGTTTTAGCATGTACGTTTGCTAACTAGACTTGTAGAAAAGTAATTAGGTACCCGACTTTGAAATTAATGCGGCATAAAGTTAAAAGGGAATATAAAATTAGGTCAGCTTTGTTGGATATGTAATTGTGACTTATTAAATTTTTTAGATAAAATTTTTTTTTTTTTATTTACTTCACTGTTATCAAATTGACTACATTTGTTCAAAGTAAACCGTCTTAAAGGTATTCAAAAAGGTCCCACTGTAAGGCTGGACGTTGGATGAATGAAGTGAATAAATTGAAACTACCCGTACATGTTTCGTGTCTTTTTGTTAGTAGCATCGTTCACATATCTGCAGAAAACTGGCAAAAACAAACAAAAGATAAACTGCTAAACTACTCTCTTCTGTTGCGGCTTTGGTCAAAGAGTCAAAGAGCCGCAAGATGCAGACCCCTGAGCTCCACCACCAAGAACCAGTCCACAGAAGCCCACTTTAAAAGAGCCGAACTATGACTTTACATACAAAGATTTAGTTCAACTCTTATCATTAATGGATTAAATAAAAAAGTTACAACTGCTTAGATAACTGTGTTTTAGACAGTTTAATAAGATTTAGTTGTCTACTTTTGGCACTTAATGTACTAAAGAAATGTAACAATGCATATGGAGATGGTTTTTACATTACTGCAGTAACTTTTCATTGTCTTGTTGTATTTAAAGCTTAACTTTACAAAAAAATAAAAATAATAGCGATAATAATAATAAACAGATTGTAGCCAAATGATCTTTTCTCCTGGTAAAAATAGTCAAAATAACCAAACAATCTGTGTTTTATTCCAGTTTGTCCTCACTGAGGATGTGGTTGTCTGAATTTTCTAAAACTATGAGAAATAAACGTGGATTTTTAGTTTATTGTTAGCAGCCAACAAGACCCATTAACTGTGTAAGAGAGTAAGAAAAATGCTGCTCTGGTAACGTGGTTCCAGTCTGGGCTGGTGGTAGACGTAAAGCCATAATGGGACACAGCACAGCCCAAGAAGACACTTTGCAAAATAGCCTGATTCACACCTTGTAATTACTATGCAAGTACCTCCTTAAGTAACTTGCAATTATTCTGTATGTTTCTCTTACCTACCCGTTCTTACCACATATGAATGCCCAAAGATAACCTATAATTAACTGTACTTTCAACCTGTAATAATTATCATATTAGTACTACCTGAAGTGCCTGTAAGTATCATGCAAGTGTGCCCAAAGTAATCTTTAATTATCCTTTATGTAATTTCTTAAGTACCTGTAATTATCCTCTCATTACCCACTAAGTAACCTGCCATTACCTTATATGTGCCCCTATAAGTAACATGCAACTATTCTGTGAGTTTCCCCATAAATAACTTGTAAATATCATAATTGCCCTTGACATACTAAAGGTCAAAGTCAAGGTCAAGGTTTCTTTATTGTCACTCTCATCATATGTGGTACATGTGGTGGAACAAAATTATGTACACAGGGTCCCATTTACATCCAACAATAGTATAAATTGTAAAAGAAAAACAGTAAACAGATCTAAGATATGAACTAAGAAATATGCTAAACTAAGAATACACTGAACACTAATAGTACAAAAACAATACTCCGAACAGCAGGAGCACAAACTTGTATGTACTGCTATAAGTACACTGTATATACTCCTGTAAATACCTTTATGTATTTCTGTAAGGACCTTTATATTTTCCTGTAACTCAGGGAAAACCAAATACATGTGCACATACTGTTTGCCATTTATACATACATTCAATCCTAGACATGTACTTTTATCTTAATACTGTGTATTAATACTGTGAGTTGCTGCCATGGAGGACGCCAAATTGAGTTTCACTGTTTTTAACAATGCTATTTAAAGTGACAGTAACAATCTATTCTATTCTAATGAATAAAAAGGGACAAATAGTGCACAACAACTATGAAATTATTCCAAAAAAGAAACTGTCCAGATGACCTGACTGAGCATTATTGGATTTGGTACCTGGATGATTGAGCATGAACTTTGATGATATGAAAGTGTTAGTTTTTAAAATGCTTGCTGGATGTCTTTATGCTGGATTTGTTACTTTTTGCTTGAATTTACGGGGCACTTCAGATTTCTACTGACACACAGACCCCAGTGGTACTGCCTGTGGTTCTAGCATTATTAGAAGACGTCTGCTCATCTTTCATGTAACGGCGGTTAAGTTATGACACGCAGCAGAAAAAACTACACATCAAACTGCAAGAGTCCCACCTGTTACGCAGGATTTGTCCGAGGTGCTGCTGTCTCTCTTTATTGTGGCTCTTTTTCGCTTCACCTCGTACGGATCTGAAGAACACACGTTCAGAAACACTCGGATTAATCTCCAGCAGCTGTAGAAGCAGCTTCACCCGTTAATGACTCGGACCAACGTGCGGTCCTCACTGACCCTGGTTGTGTGGCAGGAACGTAAAGGGGACTGGCTCGCTCTCCATCTGGTCTGAGACGCGACGCAGGACGACCATGACCTCCACCTCCTCTGTGATGTCCTGGTCCTGGTAGGGCGGCGTTTTGAACACGATGGCTATCTGTCGATGAACGTCCGTCTGGGCAAACTCCCCGTTTGCTTTCCACATCCCTCGCCTGAACAGGATCTCGATGTCATCTGTGGATTGGCAACAAACCAGAAGCTTACGCCACTCTTACTGGCTGACCTGCTTCCTGTCCACATCTTAGCGCAACAAAGTATCCAGATTACCACGTATGGAACATAAATTACAACTACTGTTTTATCGACAAACATATTTAATGCAAAAATACTTAAAAACAGCAAACACAGGCTGTATTAGTTCTACCAGCCTTCAAACCAGTAAAGCCTGTAAATGTTTCAGTTTTAATAGACGTGTATTTTATGATTAAGCTCATCTTAATCACCTGCACACCTGAAAAACACTCGACTTTATCTAGAAGTGGCGTCGGGTGAGAACTGAAAAATATGTACCTTTGATAAATCTGTTCTTTGTGACGAGCCGACTCAAAACAATAAATAAATAAAAACAAGTTGAAATAACTTTTACATTACCAGAAAATTAAGTGTTTTCTATCTGCAGGACATTGTTTGCTAGATCAATGGTTCTCAAACTGGTCCATGAGCCGGTGCTTGGGGGTCCACCCCATTTTCTTTTGGATGTTTAACAACACATTAAAATACAGCAAAATGCAGGAAATCACATCTACTTTATTCAAAATTTTCTGGGGGAGGCTGAAACTTTTTCTCCTCTGTAAGGGGTCTTGTAAGGTTTTTTTTCCATCTTTATATCACTTCTTGGTCTGCTGCCTTCATACATCTCCTCCTACACGTCTCTGCGTGAGTGCAGCTACAGCGTGCGCTCTCAGGACATTATTACCTGCAGTGTTCCCTCAGTGTGGACTGAACTAGACAAAAGAGCCTTCTCCTACTCTGCTCCCGTTTCCTAGAACATCTTGCAAAAAGACCTGAAGCTCTCGACCTTGACCTCTTTAAGTGGCTTTAAACATCTTCTTGGGAAAAACCAATGCAGACGTGTTCCTGTTTTTAGTTTTCTACACCGCCTTATAATCTAGCGGTTTTTTTCGCTGCTTTTCCTTTTGATTGTCTTTTTGGTTGCCATTTTATTTTAACTTGTTAAAAAAAAAAAAAAAAAAAAATTGTATGCATTTTTTATGATTGTCTATTGTTGTCCACTGTTGTCATCACTCTTTGTTAAAAATTCAGGTCTCTCTTGTAAATGAGTCCCTGAGGCTCAATGAGATTAACCTGTATAAATAAAAATTGAATGAAAAAAAGGGGTCCCTGAACCCAAAAAGTTTGAGAACCCCTGTGCTACTTGACTTCCACTTCAATTTGTCAGAGCCGTTTGTATATTCAGTATGTACACAAGCTAATTAAAAAGATCTTTTAGTTCAAGTTCAAGAAGCTTTATAATCCCTGAGGGGCAATTAGTTTCACAGTCAGTAGACACACAAAACCTCCATACTAAAGACAATGAGACTTTAAAATAAAACATTAAGTCATCACTGTTCGTTGAGAAGCCTGATCACTACAGGGATGAATGAGTTTCTCAGTCTGTTCGTTCTACATCTGCGCTGCAGATAACTGCGTCCAGATGGAAGCACCCTGAACTCACCACGGAGTGGGTGATCAGGATCTGCCAGAATAAGCTTGGCCTTGTTCACTGACCTCGCCTTGTGTTTTAAGCATCTCTGCAAAACCTCTTACCTTTTTGCACTTTGTCACAGAGCATGTAGACCTCAGTCTTGCCCCTGCAGGACCCTCGGGACAAGTTCAAGTTGCAGATCTTCAGCTCCGATGTTGTCGTGGCCTCTTAAAAAAAAAAAGAAAAAAAGAAAAAAAAAAACGACAAACGAGAGCGCGTGAGAAAAAGGAAGTTGATGAATAGTTGTGATGCATGCCGTTGGTTCCAACTGTGACCAAGAGTCAACGGGAAGTGTTTCGTAATCTCTTACTTTTGTCATAAATGGGTTTGGAGACGACCGGGCTCAGAGAGTCGTTCCTGCCATCTTCCCACTCGAGCTCGCACTGAAAACACAGACGCACCGAGTTCATGTCGATGTCTTCGATGCCCTTAGTGAAACCAGCTGAGGGGGAGAGGAGGAGACGGCAGGCGGCGTGTCGGATCGATCAGTCTCAAATGTTAAAATTGTTGTGTGTGTGTGTGTGTGTATCTGCGTGTGTGTCCTGCTCACTGTGAAATGGGTCTATACTTTGGCTTCTTCTCTTCTGAAGCGAGACGTCCAGCTCTTTCCTCCTCACACACTGAATGCCAAGGTTGGCAAAGCTGCAAGTCAAAAATAGACATAAAAACACATTTTAGTTAAACGTTCGTTAAAAAGAAGAAGAAAATTAAACTATAATTCGTGTTTGACGGGGGTTAAACAGCTGATCACCTGTGACGCCGGTTTGTATGAGGGTTGAATGAAACCACACAGATGCCAGAATCAACGGGGCAATCTTTACCCACAAGGCAGTGGGGGTGAGGCCGGTGTGGGAGGTCTTTGGTTACCAAGGAAACGGTGACGATGACCTTCTTTAGGCGGTCAATGGGACCATGAATCTGTAAAAAGTGAACAGGGCAAGGTGAAAGGCAGAAATTAAACTTTTCCTTTTTAAATGTACAGATTAACGTGAGAAACGGTAAGAAGCAAACATTTAAAATAAAAATACAAGCGTTCACACCAGAACCGAGCTGAAATTTATTAACAGAGAAAGAAAGCATGAAGCAGATCAACTCAAACTGTTGTTTATTTTAATAGTTGTTTTTTTTTTAAGTTTTTCCCTTTTTAATAGAAATCCAACATTTAATAACATATTGTTTTTAGCTCAGATCTTAATCTGATGGTTCAGTTCTTCTTTTGAGACGAAAAGCTTTTGCAGTCCTGTAGATTTTAAAAACACCAGTTTTACATTTTAACTTTGTTTCCCATTAAATGCATCATGTTTCTGTTTTCTCCATTGACTCATGTAGTCGTTTAACGTAATAAATATTGCATGGCGTTGTTTTTATATTAATGCAATAATCTGATTATGTTTACTATCAGTATATTTTGTTTTCTCTTTTATTGAAAAAAATACATCTATCTTTGTAATGCACTGAGGCAATGAATGTATTTTATTTTGTAATATGTGCTTGGGTAAATAGATTATTTCATAGTTCTAGAAAAATGTTAAAATACACATTTTAAACAACAGATTAATAACAGTTTGTAAATGCAGATAAGAATTTAATCTTTTGTTTTATGCGTTTAAAAAAAAAAGACTATATCCGAGTTAACAGGAAGTTGGAATAAAGTGCGGGAGAGACGCGCAGGTAGCGCTGATCGTCATGCACAGAGACCCCTAGGAGCAGAAAAAAAATAAATACATCAGATTTTATTATTATTTATCTAAATTAAATTGCCATAAAATTATTATAATAAATAATTTTATTATTTTACCATTTTCATTTTATTTTACCACCTTAAACTAAACTGTAAAACATTTTGGTGAACTTCAGTTTTTAACTGGGGAGGGTTAAGGGCCCAGAGTGGGGTAAAGGAGGGTGGAGGCAGGTGTGGGTGCTTCACCCACCCCACCCAAATTCTTTGTACTGCCCTGCCAGGCATCATGGTAGAAAAAGACATAACTAAGAAAGCAATGGAATGGAAATAACACTAATGTTAAAAGAATACGAGAATATATTAAATTAAAAGTAAAACGAGCGTATGAATGAGTGTGCACACGTTTGTTGGTAAAGAAACAAGGGATATACCCCCCCCCCCCCCCCCGAAGTGTTTGACCACAGCAGACCTGGGGTTTGTGGGGACTTTCTAATCGATTCTTTCAGCCCACATCCTCCCAGCTCCACCCTTCTTTCTTGCACCCGTCTCTGTTCGGGGGTACGCATCAAACGCCATCAGCTTGTGGTTAAACCTCGCTAACCGTCGTGAGAGGTTGAAAACTCCCTCCAGATCTGAAACTAAAACCAAACGCACCTCTATCGTGGGCTGAGTCTTGTTGCTGTCTGTGCTGGACGCCCCCATGATGCTGCCGGCCGAGCGGCCTTCACACTGGTACCGAAACCTCATGCCCCTGTCCTTGGGCTCCTCCACCACCACCAGCTTGGGTTTTTCCAGAAACTTCTCCAGCATCTCCGTGTCGCCTTGGCTCTGAGTGGAGACCGGAGCTTCTGGGGCCAGCAGGCAGGAAGCGCCTCGACCTCGGGCAGAAGAGCCGACGTGGGCCGGATGGATCGACGACATTTCTTTGGAGGAACCCACTGTCTGCTGCGGTGACAGGAAGTTGGGCTGTGGGAGGAAAAACATCCACTTTAAATACAGTTTTTAACTTAAACGTTGTCTCAAAAACATTAAAACTGGACGAGACAGAAGCACAACAAAAAACTTCACTCTTTAAAAATACCTCCCTTCTCCAGTTCAGCTTCCAGGAGTTGTTGGAGAAGTTTTATTTACCAACTTTAACCAGAAGCTGCAGTGCGACTAATATTATGTCCATTTACTGACCTACTTACTTACTCAGCTGTAGTTCCATTTTGTCACCAAACTTTAAACAAAAACTTTAAAGTACAGTTCAGGGGTTGTTAATTTAAGTATGTGATCTCGGTTCCCTTATATAATTTGAGTTATTATACACAAAATTTAACCACTAACCTAAAAAAATGTACTGTTATCTAGCTGCTTTGTGTGGCTCGTGACTAGCTAAAGGTTCAAGACACGCTTCGGCTCGTCCAGCTGCTAACTTTATGTCATCTAAACTATTTTTCAACATCTAAAAATACTTTAAATGTACAGTATTTTTAAAAAGTAAGAAAAGAGGTGCACCCTAAATGACAAGTTCTCAGCTTGACTGGTTGATCCAAAACTAAACAAAAAAACTTTCTGTTTCTCTAGTCAGCAAACACACCATAAGCTGCTAATTAGCATAGTTCATTATGTCATCGGTGTGTATGTTTTTATCAAGAACAAATTTGAGAAAGTCCAAAGAAGCACCAAATGTGTAAAAAGGGAAAAACAAAATATGCACTCATCGGCCACTAAATTATTCAGTTGCTTCGTAACAGAAATAACTAATCAGCTAATCACATGGCTGCACCTCGGTGCATTTAGGCATCTAGATGTGGGGAAGTTTAGATTAATCGTCAAAAACAGGGACGAAATGGGATTTAAGTGACTTGGTTGTTGGCGGCAGACTGGATGGTCAGAGTAAATCAGAAACTGCTCATATTTTGGGATTTTCACACACATGCCTCTTAAGATTTACAGAGAACGGTCTGAACAAAGAAACAATCTAGTGATGTCAGAGGAGAATGGACAGGCTGGTTCATGGTGATGGAAAGGCAGCAGTAAGCACTCGTTACAACCAAGGTCTGCAGAAAACCGTCTTTTTACGCACAACCTTGAAGCAGACGGGCTGCAGCAGCAGAAGACCACACCAGGTGCCACTGAACAGAAAAGCTGAGACTACAGTTCACACTAACTCAGGACAATGAGAGATTGGAAAATCACTGCCTCGTGTGACAAGTCTCTGTGGAGGAATATCTGCTGTTCGTAAAGGCTGAGGGTCTCCATTTAAGTACTTTGAGAGCAAAGAGACTTCAGACAGACAACAGGGAGAATATTCTCCAGTTTTCTCTCCATTGGCTTCCTGTCAAATCCAGAATTGAATTCCAAATCTTACTTCTAACCTACAAAGCTCTCAACAACCTAGATCCGTCTTATATTACAGATCGTATTGTTCCATGTTTTCCCGAGAGAGCACGTCGTTCTCAGACTGCAGGTTTACTTGTGGTTCCTAGAGTTTCCAAAAGCAGAATGGGAGGAAGATCTTCCAGTTATCAGGCTCCTCTCTTGTGGAACCAACTTCCAGTTTCTCTCTGTGAGGCTGACACGTTGTCCAGTTTTAAGACTGGGATTAAGTCTTTCCTTTTTGATAAATCCTATAGTTTGGGTTGGCTTGGTTTCCTGAGCTGTCCCTTACTTCTGCTGCTAAGACTGTTGGATTTCAAATTCACCACATTTCCTCACTCTGCTGTTGCCTTTACTTGCTCACTCTACCTGTTTGTTTGCATTTGTAATTATTTTTCTTAACATCTGGGTTTTTTTTTTTTGGTTTTGTTTTTGTCTTTCCTCCAATAGAAGGAACATCTGGATCTGTCATTCTGTGTTCGTTTATCCTTCCCGTCCTCTCAAACCTCAGCCGGTCGAAGCAGATGGCCACTCATCCTGAGCCTGGTTCTGCTGGAGGTTTTGTCCTGTTAAAGAGAGTTTTTCCTTTCCACTGTTGCCTTTGTGCTTGCTCAGGATGAGAGACTGGGACGAAGTGAAGATTCATCACAATCTGCTGTCTTCCTTAGAAAGATAACTTTTACTAAAATTAGAAAAAGTTCATTCATATACAGGTCCTTCTCATAAAATTAGCATATTGTGATAAAGGTCATTATTTTCCATAATGTAATGATAAAAATGAAACTTTCATATATTTCAGATTCATTGCACACCAAGTGAAATATTTCAGGTCTTTAATTGTTTTAATACTGATGATTATGGCATACAGCTCATGAAAACACAAAATGCCTGTCTCAAAAAATTAGCATATCATGAAAAGGTTCTCTAAACAAGCTATTAACCTAACCATCTGAATCAACGACGTAACTCTAAACACCTGCAAAAAATTCCTGAGGCTTTTCAAAACTCCCAGCCTTGTTCATTACTCAAAACCGCAATCATGGGTAAGACTGCCGACCTGACTGCTGTCCAGAAGACCATCATTGACACCCTCAAGCAAGAGGGTAAGACACAGAAAGAAATTGCTGAACGAATAGGCTGTTCCCAGAGTGCTGTATCAAGGCACCTCAGTGGGAAGTCTGAGGGAAGGGAAAAGTTTGGCAGAAAACGCTGCACAATGAGAAGAGGTGACCGCACCCTGAGGAGGATTGTGGAGAAGGGCCGATTCCAGACCTTGGGGGACCCGCGGAAGCAGTGGACTGAGTCTGGAGTAGAAACATCCAGAGCCACCGTGCACAGGCGTGTGCAGGAAATGGGCTACAGGTGCCGCATTCCCCAGGTCAAGCCACTCTTGAACAAGAGACTGCGTCAGAAGCATCTCACCTGGGACTGCTGCTGAGTGGTCCAAAGTTATGTTCTCTGATTACAGTAAATTTTGCATTTCCTTTGGAAATCAAGGACCCAGAGTCTGGAGGAAGAGAGGAGACACAGAATTCACATTGCTTGAGGTCCAGTGTCAAGTTTCCACAGTCACTGGGGTGTCATGTCATCTGCTGGTGTTGGTCCACTGTGTTTTATCAAGCTCAGGGTCAATGCAGCTAGCTATCAGGAGATTTTGGAGCACTTCATGCTTCCATCTGCTGAAAAGCTTTATGGAGATGAAGATTTCATTTTTCAGCACGACCTGGCACCTGCTCACAGTGCCAAAACCACTGGTAAATGGTTTACTGACCATGGTATTACTGTGCTCAATTGGCCTGCCAACTCTCCTGACCTGAACCCCATAGAGAACCTGTAGGATATTGTGAAGAGAAAGTTGAGAGACGCAAGACCCAACACTCTGGATGAGCTTAAGGCCGCTATCGAAGCATCCTGGGCCTCCATAACACCTCAGCAGTGCCACAGGCTGATTGCCTCCATGCCACGCCGCATTGAAGCAGTCATTCATGCAAAAGGATTCCCGACCAAGTATTGAGTGCATAACTGAACATGATTATTTGAAGGTTGGTGTTTTTTGTATTAAAAACACTTGTTTTTCATTGGTGGGATGAAATATGCTAATTTTTTGGGACAGGCATTTTGGGTTTTCATGAGCTGTATGCCATAATCATCAGTATTAAAACAATTAAAGACCTGAAATATTTCAGTTGGTGTGCATTGAATCTGAAATATATGAAAGTTTCATTTTTATCATTACATTATGGAAAATAATGACCTTTATCACAATATGCTAATTTTTTGAGAAGGACCTGTATATGAAAAAGCCGATTTTGGCTTTTTCATATATATGAATGTTTCTGTTCAGTGTCCTGAGACGACTTCTGTTGGGACTTGATGCTATATAAATAAAATGAATTGAATATTGTTCCGTGATTACACATTCTGTCTATCATGACCTGATGGATTGTGAAATGATGGAAGCCTTTAAACTTCCAAGTTAAAATGAAAGCTGTATTTACTAACTGGTAAACAACACAAACGCTGCACTTACAGGTAAAAAAGCTAAATGATCCACACTTATAAGGCATGCTTAACCTCAGGTTTCAGGTTTGAGGGGAGTGGCGGCACAGAGGTTAGAAAAGGCGAGTCGTGATCGGGAGGTCGTCGGTTTGAATCCCCTGAACGTTACAACAAATATCTGGGTGTGAACAGTGGAGCACCCACATCTACCTCCATCCTCATCTGCTCCATTGTGGGCCCTTGAGCAAGGCCTGGATGGCAGTAGTGCAGTGGTTGCATCAGGAAGGGCAACTGGCATTAAAAAAAATACATTTGCCAAGGCTTCATGAATGTTTGCTTGCTGTAGCGACCCCTGAAGAAGGGAGCAGCCGACAAAAAAAAAAAAAGCATTTAATATTCTCAGTCATACAACAATATTTATACTGCCTCAAGACTTTTTGGCATACTGCAGGGGCAGGGAATTGAACCCCCAATCCTCCATTAGAAGGCAGCCTCCAAACACTGGGTCTAAGCTGCTCCCAGTTAGCAATGCTAAACACGCTAACCAAGCTAAACTTAAGACAGTTAATAACTCCTCTTAACTACATATTAACTAGTTAACTCTTATTGTAGTAGCTGTACAAACCATTATAATAGTTCATAACTTTAATAACTATTATTATAGAATCTGCAATAATTATTATAGATATTAACTATATTATACTATATATAACTACTATATAATACTATATATAACTATATTATTAACTATAAAACTGAGTTTTATTTGTACAAACTCCTCTGTTCAATACCCTGTGAAACAGTCTATTACGGGTAAAGTTTAAATTTTTTATCCAGAAATTAGGCAAAAAATATATAAAAGCTACTACCGTATTTTTTGGACTATAAGGGACTTAAAATCCTTTAATTTTCTCAAAAATCTACAGTGAGCCTTATAATCCGGTGCACCTTATGTATTAATTCTGGTTGTGCTTACTGACCTCGAACTGATTTTATGTGGTTATTGTGAAGGAGTTGAATAAAGTTTGACTTATCGGCCTGTTTTGTTTCGCTTAATGCGCCTTATAATCCGGTGCACCTTATAGTCCAAAAAATACGGTAATCATAGTTCTAAGATAGAAATCTGAAACAGCCAAAATCAGCATTGGCACGTCAGAGCTCTACTAAAAACTCTAAATCTGAATCGGCTAACAAAACTGAAATTGTTGTAAAAAAGACGGCTCCAGCCTAAACGGTGCTTCAGTTCCTACACACTGTGTGATTTCAAAGAGTAGAAAAACTTTATTTTTTACTTTCTCATATTGATGCTTTTGATTAAAAACTATTCTCAACAGATTATAAAACATCATCTACACACAATCGGAGAAACTAAAAAGGCCCAAAGTCAAAGACAAGAACCAGATGTTTGCCAGGTGTTGTAGTAACTGCAGTGAAACTAAACGGCCAGACCGGTTGTTCCTCCTTCATACGTGTGCTTTCCATCACGGCAGAGCTCACAGTACTCTTCAGCTCCTCCTCTTCCATCTGATTGTCTGATTTGTTCCGTTACGCCACAGACTCCGTTCCCACTCCCACTTAATAACTTTCTTTTTGCTCCTTTCACTCTCTCTCTCTCTCTTTCTCCACCCTTTCTGCATCGTTGAGCCCCCGATGGGTCTCAATACAAGAGAAAACACGTCAACTTTGATGTTTTACAAAACAAGCACGATCATACCTGCAGGGAACAAAGAGTTAAAGAGGCCGACTCTTTTGTGAGCACTTAATGAGATTAAAGAGTCGCTCCGGGTGTCCCGAGTGACGCCTCAGCATGAGATCATCTTTTACAGCATCCCATCAGGCCGCAGGCGTCTGGTGTCAAAGTGTTTGTGCGCCGCTGCGAGCGTGCGCCTCCTCATCGTAAAGCACTGAACCCAAACAGACGGGCCAGGCAGTCAGAGCCGGCAGAGACGAAGAAACAGGAAGTCAGCTCAGCCCAACCGATGCGAGGAAGAAAGAAAAAGAAGCGACCTTTAACCTCTGGTGGGTTTGGCTTGTAAACAGAAAAGACGGCGAACTGAAAGCAGGAGTCAGATTACACTTTCTTCAAGACAATATCCTCCTCCTCCTCTCTCAGCCTCCTCCCTCAGAGAAGCATGCTGGGTAAAAAAAAAGAAAAGCTTTTTGTTTTTGTTTTAATTCAATAAAAAGTGTATTACACACACCTACATTAAAACTGGTCACCTATTAAAAGGTAAAACCTGCTTTGTGTTGCCCTTCGTTGTGAGCCGTGTGTGCAGGCTGCATCACCGCCGTCTCATCAGGTACATCTCTGATCTCAGCGCTGCCTGTAAACCACGTGCTTTCTGCTCAGAGTGTGAGCTGCTGCTCTGAACGGCAACAAAACCTCCGGCCGTCTGCAGTCAAACCAACACAAGCATCTTCTGCTGAGATTAACGCTTCATCAGCAGCCGAATCGTAGCACGAGCTCTGATAATGATCGTTTAGACGTTTCTGTTGTCAAAAAGTGTTCAGCAATACAGCATTATTTGAAAACTGAACATTAAGACAGCTCTAAAACATCAAACCTCCTGATAGAGAAGCTGTCAGCGAATCAGCGTTCAAGCATCAGCTGAAACTTCAAGTTGAAAATAGAGAAGCTGGGAAAAGCCAAACCAAACAGCTTAAAAGTAAAAAAGCCCGAATTTCCTCAATCGCCAGTTTCAGGGTAAACCACAAATTATTTAAAGTATTTCTGCAGTTTAGTAACTTCATTTAATCCGACTTCTCCAAACAATGTCGTTAAATTACCGGCTGAGTCAATTTACTAACAAAGTCACATCTTTAAGCAAACAAAGTTCAGTCAGGTCCTCTGGATGGTTTCTTTTTTTGTTTTGTTGATTTGTTTCATCCTTCATCCAAAGGACTTCAGATGAAGGACAAAACGTCTCAACGACAACAAAAAAGAAACCATTCAGAGGATCTTTGTTGAATTTTTTTACCTGGATTACTGAGCATGCACGTTTAAGCATAAACTTTTAACATTTATGCTACAATTCATGGCCCTCATTTAAAGTTTGTTGATGCTTAATGTAGTAAATATAACTACTGTATCATATATTATAGACACGGCACAAAGCAAAACAAAGAAATATCAAATGATAGATAATAATCCTCTTTAAACGTTTAATAGTAAATCTTAAAGGAATGCAATCAGGAGGGAAACTGAACGAGCAGTTTAGGAGATTTTAAGCTTTTAATTAAATATTGTTAAAGCTCACTTTTAGATTTTAATTAAATTGATGTGTTATTAATTTAAGGCCTCATTTCTCCCTAAATAACTTTTGACTTTATTACAGTTTATGAATAAAAACTTGTAATAAACATCTTGCTGTCCTGCTCAGTGTTGTTCTGTTTAACAGGAAAACCTCTTGATGGAGTTTATAAAACGTCACACTCACTTTACAAGCAGCGCCTCTTGGCACCAGCACAGGGTTAGAGGTCGATGGAGGGTTCTGTTGGACCGTCCTGCGGTTCTGTCTGATGGGCGCTGGACCAAACAGGTCAGGAGGAGGAGGAGGAGGTCCGGGAAGCACAATGTGCTCCTTGATTATTTCTTCAATTAGGTCTGCAACAAAACAACAAATGGGCTCAAACTGTAAAAATAAATACACAAAATAAACAGTGGTGGGGTTTAAAATGACTGAGAGCACAACAGCTTTAATGTTTAATCGGGAAAGGCAAAGTTTTGAGTAGATAATCTGAGAAAAAATTTTAAAAGAAATGACAAACAGCTTCAAGTTACGTGCAAGTAAATGCCTTTGTGTTATTTAAAAAGGGTTATTTTAGAGCGTCTCGTTGTGTTTTAAAGATAAAAACACTGAAAAACTGTAAACACGTTAATAAAGTTAAACAATCTGAATTATTTGATGAATAGGCTGCACCGAACACTTCCTGTTTGGGTTAATGGTTAATCTGCGCCTCTATAGATGCCACCATTAAATTAAGTCAGACGAAGTTCAACCTGTACTGTTGCTATGGTTACCAGCAGGTAAATACAAATATATCTGAGGGGGTGGCTGTGGTCTGTCTGACACATCTGTAAGTGGTTTCCCGATGTAGAAATGTAAACAAAGCAGCTGTAAAGTCCTACTACCATCACAAATATTGATAACTTATCAATAATACTTAATAAAACTTGTTTTCTTAAATAAATTTTAATTTTAGCATTTTGTTAGTTAGTCTCAGTCAGCCAGACATGGCAAATAAGTCGATTAGATGTTTAAGCTCATGGCACGGGCTACTTTCTTATGTTAAACTGAAAAGTGCAACATTCAAAGACTTAAAGTAAGAGCGAGTTGCTTTGTTTAGCTGAACTCTCTTGCAAATCACTCTCCCTCCCCTCCCTCCTGAGGGTCTTGTTAACCTGGTCCATGTGAGAAATGTTCTGGTTGCTTTATGAACTGGTGTGAAACCGACTGTGGATTAAAGCAGAAACTCTTGACAACCCTCGACAGGGAGGGGAGGGAAATGTGGATGATTTGCGCATGAGCTCATGTAAACAAAGCAGTTTTTAAAAGATTGGAGAAGTTTTCAGTTTGAAGTAAGAAACTCCTTAAAATTGAAAAAAAAATAATAAAAAAAAACAGCCTATGATTGATGCATCTATTTAGGTTCTAAAATGTAAACAGCTGAATACGCAAACTTTGGAAGATTTTGTAATAATTTTCCAAACTATTTTAAATTGTTTATATTCATATTGTCAAATGAGCATCATAGCTGTAGTTTATTTAAATACTGAAATTGGTAACAGATGTTTGCTTCTCCTTTTTTTTTTTTTTTTTTTTGGATAATGATGATTTACTTCCGGTTTCTGTCTTGATCAATAAAAATAAAGGTGAACCTCACCGAACTCCGGGTTGTAGGAGGAGAAGTGAGGAGGCGCGCCCGGCAGGAGTGCGCTCATCCCCGGGTTGGGTGTTGGCTCCTCTGCTGTGACAAACCACACCGTCTGAGAATGTGGGCACTTTACACAAACACGACATAAATGAGCTTTAAACCTACCGGAGGCACCGTTAAAAACGTCCATGTCTTTCATCGCATGAGTTCTTAGAGGGGAAAAAAAAAACTCTCCGACGTGGAGTTTGTGAACTCGTTCCGAAGCCGATGAATCCAGGAACTAGTCGGAGCCGCTCCGTGAGAAAACCGTGTAAGCGTGTCCTGTCGGCTCACGGTGTTTAGTCTGAGTCCAGAGGAGGTTTTGGACCGATTTGAAGTCGTGTGTGTGTCAAGCTCCGCTGATGAAGTTCGCTTTCGTTTTGTTCCGCAGCGGCTCTCTCTGATTGGCTGCTGAGCTGCGCGGAAATCCCCGGAGTGTTACGTCACCTCGTTCAACGGGAAACCCCTCCCCCCAACACTTGACTTAAGCATCTTCACCCCAACACGAGTGGTGATCCATAAAAGGAGAAACATGTTTCCATCTTTAATGTAGCCTGAATGCAGAACTTGCTTCAGCGCACATGCAAATTGACTAATTTGAAACTCCATAACAACTTGCACAATAATGTGTAACAACAAAAAGGCCGTTTTCGACATTTCTCCTGCTTGAGTCAGCCCCACGACTCTGCTATGATACATTTCATTTATTTATTTCATTTAGTCACAGTCCATCCTCTGCTCCCGTTTCCTCTAAACTGAAATAAAATTTAAACGGATCAATGACCTTGTCCGCACGCGCGTTAAACTCTCCTTAAATGACCCCACAAGACTCTACAGCAGCTGTCGGTATTGCGCATGCGCGAGCAAAACGTTTGTTATACACACGTGTACACGAACTATCGAAACGCAACAGAAATGTTAGTTTCATCTAAAAACAAGGTCGTGTAAAAAAAGGCCTGAGACGAGGTCTTGATGCACCTGAAAGGTGAGGTGCAGCAGCGACACCTGCTGGTCACACCGAGACAATACACCATTTAAAGGAAACCGAAAGTTTCGAGGAAGAAGTGACTCAGCAGAAATGAGCATCAATTAATGACGGGTAGAAAAACTAGTTCTGTAATACAAGTTAACTTTAGGGCAATTAAACCATTAACATGCAACATTTAGAAAAATAATGTAATCCATTCAATAAAAATCTTCAACTGTAAGCACAAGTTTAGTTTAAAAAAATTAATCCGGTCTAAATTTTACACAAAGAAATGCCTTGCTAAGGTCTTAAATTTTCACAATTAAAGCCTGATTTGGTTATGAAAGCCTTTATCAAACTACCCTGCTAAATGCAGCCCAAGAATAAAACTAATAAAAAAATCTATATTCACAAAAATTAAGATTACAGAGCCAATTTCCGTTTCATTAATACATTAAATGCATGAACTGTTCTGTGCCATAATTACTGCAGACAGCTTGTCTGTACTTGCTGCATTGTGGGGAAGTCTGGTGTTCAAAATCATTAATTGGCACAGATCTGAACATCAGTTTGCCAATAAATGCAACCCCTCCAGAGGAACCAGGACAAAAATTTAGTCTGACAGAAAATAAACTTATTAGCCAACCTTTTAAACAGTACAAGCTGGCTAAGTTGTCAAAATTTAAAACCTAAAACTTTCATTCAATTTATGTACAGCTGACTTTTTTTTTATGTTAAACTTTGTAAAATATTTTAAAGCTGTCATCTTCAGGCTGTCAGACAGAAGTGCCTTATTGTTTAACAGGATTTATACAGGACGATACCCGGGCGCAGTAATTCAGTGGTTGTTAAAGCACACACATCTCAAAGCAACAAACATAACAGCTGCAGAAAGAAAAGCTTTGCAGAGAGTGGTGAAGGCTGCACAGAAATCTGTTGGAATCAGTCTCCCCACCATCACAGACATCTACACCTCCAGATGCAGGAAGAGGGCCACCTGCATCATGAAGGACCCCACCCACCCAGCACACACACTTTTTGCCCCACTCCCCTCAGGAAGGTTAAGGAGCATTAAGTGTAGAACCACTAGACTGAGGAACAGCTTGTACCCTGAGGCTGTTAGACTCATGAATCTCTAACTAGAATAATCACTGAAAAACCATATCATGTTGCTGCTGATCTGTTTCATGTTGCTGCTGATCTGTTTCATGTTGCTGCTGATCTGTTTCAATGTTGATGTGTTCATGCGTGCACATCTGCTCACAGACTCATGTTCACGTTTGTGCTGATGTTCAATGTTTTATGTTATGAGTGCTTAGTGTATATTTAGTTGATGTTTTTCTTAGTTCATATCTTAGATGTTGTTACTGTTTTTCTTATACATTTTATTGTTGGATGTAACTGGGACCCCGTGTACATAATTTCGCTCCACCACATGTACCACATGAGGTGCGAATGACAATAAAGAAACTCTGACTCTGATAAAAAGGCAATTCCACGCAAAAAAAAAAAAGGTCAAATTAAAAACTAGGAGTACATTTTTAAAAACAAGGCGTTGCATAGACATTTTAAACCACACAATTGTTTTTATTATAAACATGAATTTTCAAAAATTGAACATGGAACCCTTTTTGTTTTTCAGATTTACAGAATTCAAATAATAAAAATAAAAATTCTTCCATCACACATCTGTTGTGACGATCTGAATTTTAGAGTGTGTTGGTGATTTAAAAACAAGACGGTGAGCTGAGGGGAAAATAATCAGATTTTGTAAATTGCCAACTGTTAAACGGAGTTCACAGGAATTATTAACATAAGTCTGTACAGTTTGAGGACATACGAAAGAATGTTTTAGTGACTGAAAAACAAAAATTAAGTTATTGACATCATATACTTATATTAATACCAACAAGGCTGTTATCTTTTTCTCATTCAAGTCTAGAACAATAACCGTTGTTAAAATTGAGTGTAGTAGTCATTGTCTCGTGGGTAGTGCCCTGCAGGGTCGTCCATCCCGTCTCTGAGTGTGACTCAGGATCTTTCCAGTTTCCTCCAGCACTACACACCAGTTTCCAGGCAACCCAAAACACGGCGCTCAAATGGAATGAAAAGAAAATGTCACATGGAATCGACATGAAGAACCAAAGTCGCACTTGGCCTGTATTCATTAAAAAAAAAAGTTTCTGCGACCTGTTCCCCTCACAACATCAACGCCAAGAGACTGTTACCCTCTGAAATCAAATCTTACAGAATACAGAACATCACGTTTTGTTTTACTTCACTTGAACTGCAGAAAGAGAGGGTAGGGGGTGGGTGGGTGGGGAACAGAAAAAATAATTTACCAAGTCTACACTGAATATATTCCTCTGTGGAGCCACAAAGAAAGAGAACGAACAGGTAAACTGCTATTTTTTCTCGTTATTTTTTTGTTGTGGCTTCCATGACAAATAATTGGCCACTGAGCCCCACCCCGCTTCCTGCTCAACTTCCACAAGTTCTCTTTGCCCCAACAGTCAGGGCCACAGGTGTGTGTGGGGCGGGGGGATAAGTGAAAGGTCTCGCTTAATCATTCTTCTTCTCCCCTTCTGGCTTGTCTGTGATGGCACCGGCAGAGTCTGCTGTGTTGTTCTGAGTGGAGTCAACTCCGCTGGTGCCAAATTCATTGACCCTGTTGGGATCGACCCGATAGATCCAGCGCTGGTAAAGGTAGATGAAGAACACCACATCTGCAGGAGAGCAAGCAGGTGAGAAAGAGGAAGAGTTTAGATCAACTGCTGTCACCTTAAGACAAGTGGTCTTCAAAGAAGCGTGATTTCTGAAGGGTCCAGGGAATCCTGGTTGAACTCAGCCCAGCACAGTTGCACTTTTGTGCCTCCAAGTGAAGTAATGAGCTGTAACACTCAGCATGTGGACAAGCAAACTGGTTCAGGGTTTTACAACTATATGATGCAACAGATTCAAATAGATTCATTACAGAGAAGATCAAGGACGACTCACAACTTTGAATTAGATGGGGAAAAAAAAACAAAGTTTAACTACAAAAGAATTGCTAAGCCAAGTTTATATGTCATGTTTTGAAATGTTTATTTCATCCATTTACAGTTAAAAAGAAATATGTCACATGTTAACATAAACAAAAGTCCTGAATGAAAAGGAGTGGTTTGAAGAGATATCTATCTATCTATCTATCTATCTATCTATCTATCTATCTATCTATCTATCTATCTATCTATCTATCTATCTATCTATATCTATATCTATATCTATATCTATATCTATATATATATATATACACAAACCAGATTCCAAAAAAGTTGGGACAAGTCCATTTTTACCACTGTGTGGCATTCCCCCTTCTTCTTACAACACTCAACAGACGTCTGGGGACAGAGGAGACCAGTTTCTCAAGTTTAGAAATAGGAATGCTCTCCCATTCATGTCTAATACAGGCCTCTAACTGTTCAATCGTCTTGGGCCTTCTTTGTCGCACCTTCCTCTTTCTGATGCGCCAAATGTTCTCTATAGGTGAAAGATCTGGACTGCAGTCTGGCCATTTCAGTACCTGGATCCTTCTCCTACGTAGCCATGATGTTGTGATTGCTGCAGAATGTGGTCTGGCATTATCGTGTTGAAAAATGCAGGGTCTTCCCTGAAAGAGATGACGTCTAGATGGGAGCATATGTTGTTCTAGAACCTGAACATAGTTCTCTGCATTAATGGTGCCTTTCCAGACATGCAAGCTGCCCATGCCACAAGCGCTCATGCAACCCCATACCATCAGTGATGCAGGCTTCTGAACGGAGCGTTGATAACAACTTGGGCTATCCTTGTCCTCTCTGGTCCGGATGACATGGCGTCCCAGTGTTCCATAAAGAACTCCAAATCGTGACTCATCCGACCACAGAAAAGTCTTCCATTTTGCCACACTCCATTTTAAATGACCCCTGGCCCAGTGCAAACATCTGAGCTTGTGGAGCTTGCTTAGAAATGGCTTCCTCTTTGCACTGTAGAGTTTCAGCTGGCAACGGCGGATGGCACGGTGGATTGTGTTCACTGACCATGCTTTCTGGAAGTATTCCTGAGCCCATTCTGTTATTTCCTTGACAGTGGCATTCCTGTTTGAGGTGCAGTGACGTTTAAGGGCCCGGAGATCACGAACATCCAGTAGAGTTTTACGGCCTTGACCCTTACGCACAGCGATTGTTCCAGATTCTCTGAATCTTTTGATGATGTTATGCACGGTTGATGATGATAACTTAAAAGTATTTGCTATTTTACGCTGGGTAACACCATTCTTGTATTGCTGCACTTTCTTTCTGCGCAACAATGGTGGAATTGGTGATCCTCTTACCATCTTGGCTTCTGAGAGACACTGACACTCTGAGAAGCTCTTTTTATACCCAATCATGTTGTCAATTCACCTAATTAGTGTTAATTGGTCTTCCAGCTGTTCCTTATATGCTCAATTTCCTTTTTCCAGCCACTTATTGCTACTTGTCCCAACTTTTTTGGGATTTGTTGACACTGTGAAATTTTGAATCAACATATTTTTCCTTTAAAATGTTACATTTACTCAGATTAAACTTTTGATCTGTCATCTATGTTATATTACGAATAAAATATTTACATTTGCCATCTCCACATCATTGCATTCAGTTTTAATTCACAATTTGTTTGGTGTCCCAACTTTTTTGGGATCCGGTTTGTAGTTAATGATGAAGACTCCTGTCACAGAGTAGTGCTCCATGCCTCATTTGGTTCCATACAAATTGCTTAATTTTTGAAAGCTCACATCAAACTGGGATGGGGCCAGCTCTGACCAGCCATTTCCCAGAACTGTTGTCTGACAGTTTCCATGAAATCAATCCAATGGCTCATGTGATATTTTGCCAACACAACACACAAACAAAAGCACACAAAAACATTTTTGCCTTTTTGTTTTGGCGGCAAGTAATTTGAGTAAATTTACCAAGAACAATCCTCCAAACATCATCTGAAACCAAGAAACTAAAAGAAAACCTTGAGCTATCGTCACATCTGCAGTCTGGACATTAGCCGTTTTCATCCGTCAAGAAAGTCTGAACATTAAAAAAAATTAAGTTCAAGCCCCCCCATTGAGTTCTCAGGTGAAATTACATGTGACTATAATTTAATAATAGTGGATAATTAGAAGGAAAACCCAGAAAGAACACAGACATACATCATGACTGGTTTGAGAAAAGTCTTGATTTTTTTCCAGCTGGAATTGATCTCAAGAATCTTAAAAGCTTTTTCAAACTGTGTTAGATGTTTTTGTTTTTTTATCAGTCTTTTCAAAAATAGTACTTCAAAATAAACTTCAATTTCTGCTCAAAAATAAAACAGTTGGATACAGTTTAGTTATAGACTTGTTCAAAACAACTGATACAAATGTTATTCATCACCACAGTCTAATTACTGAGCTTAGAAGGTGAGAATTATTTATGTCCATCTAAACAGCTCTATGATTAAACTGATTGTGATAACCATCAGGGCTTTTTACACTTTAAGACAGTCAAAAAGATTTTATCAGGCAACAGAAATATCTGCTCTGCCCACACAATTCTAGTCACCTGACACTAGAGGGGGTTAAAGTGTTAACCACAGCAAATAATGTGACTAACTCCAGAGGAAGATGGTGATTTAAATACTTAGTTTAAGCTATTTGAAGCTTAAGAGAAAATAGTTGTACATTAAAGAGTAAAAACAGAACAAACAGAGCATAGCTTCCTTTAAACAAACCACAAATCCTCTTGGACCAACTGTCCGCCTACGTTAGTTCCCACAACACTAAACAATGAGTCAAATCATGAAACACTTGCAGTAAAACACAACGCGTGTCTTCTGAAAATACTTTCTCTTAAACAATGACACAATATTTGTTTTTAGTAACAAACGTTTTTCAGGAAGACTCACCATCTCTGAGGCATCCTATCCTGTACATCATGGGCATCTTGATCACAAAGGCAAACAGGTCATCAATAAAGGTATTGAGAGCCTTGTAAGTGAGCATCCTCCATGGGAGGTGAGCTACAGATTTCATTTTGCAGTTGATGAACAGCTGTGGCGTCATCGTAATGAAACCTATAAAAAACAAAGCACATGATTTATGAACAAGTCCACGAGCAGAGGCAGTAAAATAATCAGAGGGCTACTGAGTGTGTCTTTATTTCTAATAATGCACAGAGCACCAGAACAGGCTCCTGGGATTTGAGTATGTAAGCATGATGCAAGTATGGGAACATGAAGAGTTCGCGCAGCCACTCCAGAGAGACAATATTATCAGGCAGATTTCTGGACTTTAAAACAATCAGCTGAACACAGTCTCAGCACATTTTTTAGTAATTTCACATTTTATTGAACTGAAGTTAATGTATAGTATTGTTTTTTAATGACTAACAAGTGAATCGTGGTTCTTAGATACGTACGCGTTTACAAAAAGAACATGATCATTAAGACATGGGTCATAGATAATCAGACGATAGCTGACAACAAATGAAACGTCATAATATTAATGTGTGTGAAGGTCAGACGAACTTACCGAAGGTTAACAAGAAGCCGTAAAGCATGCTGAGTACCCACGAGTACCAGCCTTTATGCTCTACGTAAATTAAACTGTAGATGGCATAGCAGCCAAACAGAGGAAATAGCAGCCTGGCCAAGTACTTGAAGGCCATCTGTGAACACAACAACAAGAGGAAACATGGGTCAAACGTTGACACCTTGTATTAAAATGTGTTCTTTTGTTCTTGTGATTGGATTTTAAAATTCTCAATACATGAATAAAACACAACCAGCTGAACAATGACAAATAATACCAATAATAATAATTTAATAATGGGTCCTTTCAAACATATGCACATATAAAAATAGCTTTAAATATTTTAAGTGGCAGATCACAGAACGGTTATATTTGCCGTCACTGCAGGGGTAAACATTGCAGATACATTTATTCATTCAACCTTTATTTAGACAGGTTAATCCCATTGATATCATACCATTGATATCCCATTTATACCTGCAGTCACTGGTGTACATTTGTTACTGACTCACTCAGGACACATCAACCAACACAAATTGACGTGAGATAAAATATACAAGTGGTTTCCAAACTTTTCAGCCTTTAACTTTAACTTGACAAAGGCAGAGACAAGTGACCACAACTATAAATGGTTGAAGTCAACAAAAATTGCCAATAGTCCAATGAAACGAGGGCTTAATGACAACACAGAAAAACTGTCAGTTAACTACACTGTCTTGAAATATATGTGGCAAAATATGCTAATGCAGTAATTTTAAATTAAAATTTAGTTTGTGAGATCATCATGTCAGCTGAATGCTGCACGACTTACAGAAGGGTCCTGAACAATTGCAAAGTTAGAACATTTACGTTTCTGTTAAGCAACTTTTATTTTACAAAGTTTTACCTTTCAATTTTATATTTTAAAGTAATCTAAATGTGGTCAGTGTCTACATGGGCTCTAGAAGAATGAACTTACATCATCATAGATTTTGGTTGAAGACTCCACGTATGTTGACTTGTCTTTGAAAACCAATCTTGGGAAGATCCCTGCAATTTTATTCTCTCTGTCCAACTAGAAATAAATCAACAAAAAGTGGTTACAGATATGCACATTGAGCTGTAAAGATGCTGTATGAAACTCAGTATAACTTCTTCTGAATATATATGACTTCAAGCAATTTTTTAAGTTACAAAAACAGTCCACTTCAAGAGTAAAAGAAATCCAAGAGAACAAAAGATAATTTATTAATTGAAGAAACTGAATGGAATTTTTTAAACAATAAATTTAAGTTTTCTTCTTTAGGACACAATTGCATTGATGGATTCAACTGTGGAGCACAATGACCATCAAACTCAGAGCCACAGAAATGTCCTTTGTTTGGCATATTGTATAAAAGGTTTCCATGTGATTACAGTTAGTTGAAAGCTCATTGTTAATGAAGCAGAGCATTCAGTCACCAGACAATAAAAACAACTAATTAATTTATCCTCAACAGCTACTGGCCACTTATGGATGTAATGTTGATAAAATAGTCAAATAAATGACAAGGCGTGATATTTTGACTTACCCTGACATCCATGACCTTGGTGATTTTCCACAGGTCAATAAGCAGACCAATGAAGACGCTGACCTGCACCACAAAGTTGGTTTCGTTGTCCAGTATGTAGAGCAGAACAACAAGTGACTGAAACACTCCAAATATAATGGAGCGCACAGAAAGGCCTTCAAGGGACTGCCTGCTGTTCCAAAACTGGATATCTGAGGGAAAGAGGGTGTGGAGGTGAGACAAAGTAAATAAAAGTCCCGGGGAAGAAAAACGTTTGGGGCATTAGCTGCTTACCATTTTTGAAAGCAAGAAACTCAAAGATGCTGTGCACAATGGAGACGATAATGGTGACTCCCAGCAGGTACGGGTTTGTTTCCAAAAGAGCAACCTATTGGAAAACAAAAAAAAATGTTCTTTTAAACTTCATTTACAAAAGTAATACAATTCTTTGGTTTTATGCTCACAGAAGAGCCCAGTCAAATACAAAGCGGATAAATAAGAGGTCTAAAAGGTGCATTTAACTGTAAGACAATTAAATAGACCACAGATCTAAAAGTTATTTCCTGGGTCTGATTATACTAGAAAAACCAAGTCTCACATCAACTCAAATATATATTTTAAACAAGCAGATGAAGATCAGACATGTCTATAGAGCCATTACCACATTGTTTCAACAAAATGTAATTCAACAAACTGATTAAGCCCAATTGCATATTACCATACGAGACTAGACTGTGATACTTTAAAATTCATTGAAGACATTAAGGCAGTATCTCACAGGGCTAACAGTCCACAGTAGTGGACTAAACTTGTCAGAAAGCTGCAACAAATGAGGCAAATTTTTAATGCCCGTCTCACTGAATTTTGAACATTCGTGGTCAAGTGACCAGTAAGACGTGTAGAGCAAGACTCGCAAAACGGGTTTCTAGTTCGTCCGCTACGTTTTGTTGCACACTTCGGCCCACATTGTACCTGCCTCAGCTCACTTTGTACCCACCTTGGGAGTCACTCCACATTTATCGTTTATTCTGCTCAAGTACACTTTAAAAATAAAGATAGGCAGATTTGGACCAGTTGTTTGATTAATTACTATTAATCCTTGATGTGATTAAAGACCTGGACATTAAGACTCAAATTTTATCTGTCAGATCTAATGTAATCCAACCACAGACTGGTCATAAAATACAGCTCTAGTGCTCTTGAGAAGGGTTGGAGACGCATGCAACAAAATTGGGAAGGGTTTAAGTAAGGAAATTAGGACTTCCTTGAGAATGTCATTCACCAACTAGTTGCAGCCCAGTGAGATACCACATTACTGTTGGGATCAATAGTGCACTGCAGGCCTGGAGTACTCACCTTAACAGAGTCTTGGTCTTCATCAGACTGCTCATAGGTATCCTCTGGGAGGAAATTCCAAGGAGAGCGAGCATTCTGAGCAGCGTACAGCTGCCAGCGCCACAAAGACAGCGGGCAGTAGTTGAGACGCAGCGGGAGTTTAGTCAGGGTCTCGTTGATAGGATAATAGTCTTTCTGAAGGTTCCAGTAGTCATTGAAATATACAATGGGGTAGTAGTCGCCACTAACTGCATCAAACTTAACATCTAGTAACAGGGGAAAAAAAAAAAATGTCAAACATGATTAAAAAAATAGAATTTTGTTGATAAACGTTAAAACATTTGACCAGAAACTTACACTGGTCTAGCGGAGGTGGAACAGAGCCTTTTACCCAGGCTGTGTGATCATCTACCATATTAATGGTGAGGTTTGGATGCCAGTGGGAGATGATCTCCACCGGACCGTGGCTCTCTGCTCGCTGCGACAAAACAGCAGAACACACAAATCAGTGCAAACAATAAACACAGGAAGTAACTCAAAATTCATAAATAAAATAAAGTCACTTTTGGTGTGAAAAACACAGTTATACAGTACTATATTATGCTTTTTAAAGAACCAAATCCCATTGTCTGTGCAAGCAAGTTGTTGTTATATTTTACACAAAGCATGTTTTGGACATTTGACAAACATTTTATTTAACTTTTTAATTTACGCTTAAGAAAAAGATATCAAACTGTAAAGATTACATTTCTGCAATGCCTCTTTTTCTGTTAAAAATCTGACACTGGTTAAAAAAATGGCACATTTTCTAACTATACTAAAGCAACAAAACTTATTTACTTCCAAATTCTTTGTATTTGAGTAATTTGTACATGAGTCCTCGAGACTCAATAAGACTAACCTGTATAAATAAAGGTTGAATGAATTAATGAATTTAGTAATACTGCAACATTAAAATAATTAATAGTAAATTATTTTTACCTTAATCATCTCTGGATCTGCTTCTGTTTCGCCTGTGAGCAGGTTCTTGGTTTTCAGAAACTTTCTTCTCTTGAATTTATTCAACACTGATGGAATGAAAAGAGAAAACAAAGGTTAACAGTTTGAACACAGCAACTTGTGGTCTTGTGTATCTTGATGTGCGCACTTTTTGTTGAATGAACTGTTGCCAGTCTGCGATACTGTCCCTTGCGTTTGGGGTCTGGGTGGAATCCACTTTTTGTGAAGTAGATATGCATGTAAAAGGAGCCGTTATGCTGGACTTTCTGTACCAAACCAAACAAAAAGACATTATTTTATCTTCTGCCCTTATTATTATAACATCTTTCCAGTCGATGTGATAAAATCCATATCCTCCTCCTTAATCTAGTATAATATAATTCTAAAAAGTGCTTTTATCTGTAACATCTCATTTTGCTCCTCCACGTGATCCTGAGTGATCCCTTACCTCTGGGATGTCCAACTCCTTATAGTTCTGGTAGCAGCCATCTCCATCCTCCCCTGTGTTCCAGTCTCCGTAGACCAGGTCCCTTTGGAACCAGAACAGGGCATCTGTGTTGTTGAAGTCAGAGAACACCTCCTCCTGGGACAAGTAGACGTACAGGTCCTGCAGGAATGGTGAGAAAATAAAGGTGTTGATCTTGTTACAGTGTCGGGAGAGATGGAGTCAGTCTGAGGGCAAAGCAACACTCAGGTACAGCCTGATTACTTTAGGGGATCAGAATGAGAGATGTTGAGGAATGAAGGTCTTGAATTCAGCTGGAACTTTTAACACTTGATAATGGGATTTCTATGCAAAGAGGAATGGTCACAAAAATATTTATGAAAAAAAAAACATTCAAAATATTCTTTCATATATTTGTCTTATTTTATCTGTGGTGTTTTATTTATTTATTTATTTTCATTATTGCACTTCAACCACCCATGTGTAGGGAGATGATCAGTGTAGTACCATGAGGGTGTCTTTGGGGAAGAGGTTCCTGCTGGGTACTCTGGGGGCACCAGCTGGTGTGTTGGGCTCAGGGGTGGACGGCCCTCTGCGGAACCAACTACTGATTGCCCAAATTATAAAAATTCTGAAGGAAAAAAAGAGTAACAAGGGGAATATGAGTTAGTGAAATAACTAAACCTTCACAGAAAAACTGAAAGCTTCCATAAATCAAGTATTTTAGCTGGTTTTGTAATGTCTTGATGAATGATTGTTACAGGTTAATTTATAATCTCATGGGTTAATGAAGTGCACAAAATCCATCATGTTCACAAAAACTTCATTCGGTTTGTCATTTTACAAATTCAAAATTAACTTAATTTCCAAGTGAAAATAATTATTGCCTTTGTATTTGTTATATACAAATATACAAAATTCATCAGAAACTTAAAAATATCAGTAATAGAAAATATCAATCAACTCCAAAATCTAACATTATAAGAAAACAGCTTCAAAACAACAGTAACTGAATTAAATGTGTATTTTAACTACAAAAACTAAAAAGACGCCTTATTAATATCGATTCATGCCCAATAATCCAGGTAGAAAAATCCAACACAGTTAAATTTGGTTCTCTGGACGGTATCTTTTTGTTGAAACATTTCGTCTTTCATCCAAAAGACCATCAGTCCAAGGAGCCACAACAAACTCAGTCTTAAAGGCACCTTCACATAGTGGGTCAACCAGTTTGATGGTGCCAAGATGGTTTCTGGACCAGAGGACCAGACTTAACTTTGTTGGATTTTTTTAAAATGGATTAATGAGCATTAACTATGATATTTTTAACCACTTTGTTCATGACTGCCTCAAACGAGTCGGCCAGGGAGAGGGCGGACTCCAGAAACCATCGTAGCACCATGAAACTAGTTGACCCACTTTGTGAGGTGCTAGTTATAAGACCGAGTTTGTTGTGGTTCATCAGACTGATGACGTCTTTTGGATGAAAGATGAAACGTTTCAACGAAAAGAAACCGTCCAGAGGACCCGACTTCTGTGTTGGAAGTCGTTTTAATGTTGATTACACGTCCTAGTTTATGGTACAGGTATTTATGTGCACTAACCAAATAAAAAAGCCTGAAAAAAAAATAAATTTTGCAAGTCAAATTGAAAGGATTTTGAAGCCAATTGGCAAAAACTAGTGTCTCCTGAAAAACTGAGTGAGTACAGTGAGAATGACAAAAACAATGAGATTGACTACAATTAAAGATCTATTTAAAGATCTTACCTTTGTCAACCTAACAAGTCTAAAATACTAAATATCTCGGTTTTTGACTCACTCAATTATGCTCCAATTTGTGCAGAAAAAGACAATGACTCAGAAAACAGAAGCAGCAAAACAGACCGAATACTCTGTACAAAAATCTGGGACAAAAAACTTGGAAGCAAATGACGTACAGCATACCATTATGCACACTTATTTAAAATTGGACTGGGACACCACTTTAATATGCAATATATTAATTATTACACCAATGACATCAGAGGAGGCTTTTAACTGTGAGTTGGCTCTTCAACTGCAAAGACAATGAGCCAGCAAGATTAAAAGTAAAACTCACCTAAAGAGGACTCCTTTAATAACTTGCCATGCATTAGGTGCTTGTTGCTGCTGCTGCTGAGGGTCCTGTGCATTTCCAGCTGTTTGTACAGCCTGGCTGTCTGTTGCAGCAGTTCCATTGCTGCTTACCTACAATCACAAAAGCACATAAAAGACATGTTCAAGGCAGCCAAAGTCTGTAATGATCAGCGTCACCTGCTTTAAATAAAGCACTTGTTGGTTAAGTTACTGCACTTTCCCATAGAGACAACTTTAAGATGCCATGAATGGAAAAAGAATATACTTAATCTACAGTCAAATATGGTGCATAATTTTTTGTCTTGCTTGTTTTTAATACTGGCCTAAGTCATCCACTACCAAAAAGTATGATTTACTTTATTTATTGAAGCCCCTGCATTCCTTAAAGGTATTCATATCGTCTGACGCCTTGTGCTGAGAAGGGAAAGAGATACTTGGCATATTCTGAGAACTGGCAAAAACTGTGCCATGTGTTACACTATGAGGATGACAGCTACAATCACAGCAAAAATTAACTCAACATCTTTCAAATTCACAGAGTTACAGGTCCTTCTCAAAAATTTAGCATATTGTGATAAAGGTCATTATTTTCCATAATGTAATGATAAAAATGAAACTTTCCTATATTTCAGATTCATTGCATACCAACTGAAATATTTCAGGTCTTTAATTGTTTTAATACTGATGATTATGGCATACAGCTCATGAAAACCCAAAATGCCTGTCCCAAAAAATTAGCATATCATGAAAAGTTTCTCTAAACAAGCTATTAACCTAACCATCTGAATCAACGACGTAACTCTAAACACCTGCAAAAAATTCCTGAGGCTTTTAAAAACTCCCAGCCTTGTTCATTACTCAAAACCGCAATCATGGGTAAGACTGCCGACCTGACTGCTGTCCAGAAGACCATCATTGACACCCTCAAGCAAGAGGGCAAGACACAGAAAGAAATTGCTGAACCAATAGGCTGTTCCCAGAGTGCTGTATCAAGGCACCTCAGTGGGAAGTCTGTGGGAAGGGAAAAGTGTGGCAGAAAACGCTGCACAACGAGAAGAGGTGACCGGACCCTGAGGAGGATTGTGGAGAAGGGCTGATTCCAGAGCCACTGTGCACAGGCGTGTGCAGGAAATGGGCTACATGTGCAGCATTCCCCAGGTCAAGCCACTTTTGAACCAGAAACAGCGGCAGAAGCGCCTGACCTGGGCTACAGAGAAGCAGCACTGGACTGTTGCTCAGTGGTCTAAAGTGCTTTTTTCAGATGAAAGAAAATTTTGCATGTCATTCGGAAATCAACGTACCATAGTCTGGAGGAAGACTGGGGAGAAGGTATCACAATATGCTAATTTTTTTAGAAGGACCTGTATAGATCCTTTGAGTTTGCTGAGATCAATTAGCTGTGATGGCTGTCATGAATTGGATTGACACTACAGTCTACTAAATATAATTTTTGACCCAAGGACCTAACAAACATTTTCTGCATCAACACTCAGAAGACAGTGCCTTTGGCAGTTTGGTTTGTAATTAATTAGTTACAAGAAATTTCTGGAAAAAAAAAAAAAAAAGTTTTTCCCAGCCTGAATGTTTATAGCTTTGTTTCAACATTTAGTCTTAGTCAACTCCATTGAAAAAGCCCCAGGCCAAAGAGGCGAGCCAGTGACCTTGTCGCGGAGACACAACAGCTCTGACCACTGTACTGCCTGAATAGTGACTACAGTATATAAAATTAAGACTTGAAGAGCCTCTGTCGTTTTGAGAGTAGAATAAATGAACGGCATATGTGGAAATTAGTGTATATTACGCCCCGGCCCCGACATCATCAAAATTGTGGGTGGGGTGGGTGAAACACCCACACTTGCCCCCACCCTCATTCGCCCCACTCTGGGCCCATGAGCAAGGCCCTTAACCCCCACCATGTGCTCCCTAAACAGGTCTCTCTTGAAAATGAGTTCTCGTGGCTCAATGAGACTAACCTGGATAAATAAAGGCTAAATGAAAAAAAAAATAAAAATAAATATTACCCATTACTTTAAGTCAGCAAATTCTTTGATCAGTTTCGTCTTTCATGCCCCTCAGCTGGGGCAACAACACCACCAGCCTGATCAAGAAAGCTCATCAGAGACTCTACTTCCTCAGACGGCTGAGGCGAGCTGGACTGGGAAGCTCAGTCCTCACCTCCTTCTACAGGTGTGCAGTGGAGAGCATCCTGTGCTCCAGCATCAACGTGTGGCATGGAGGCTGCACAGCTGCAGAAAGAAAAGCTTTGCAGAGAGTGGTGAAGGCTGCACAGAAGTCTGTTGGAGTCAGCCTGACCCACCATCACAGACATCTACACCTCTAGATGCATGAAGAGGGCCACCTGCATCATGAAGGAACCCACACACCCAGCACATGCACTTTTTGCCCCGCTCCCCTCAGGAAGGAGGTTAAGGAGCATTAAGTGTAGAACCACTAGACTGAGGAACAGCTTCTACCCTGAAGCTGTTAAGACTCATGAATCTCTAACTAGAATAATCACTGTGAAAAACCATATCATGTTGCTGCCGATCTGTTTCATGTTGCTGTGTTCATTCATGCTCATCTGCTCACACAGACTCATGTTCGTGCTGCTGTTCGGCGTATTGTTTTTATGCTATTAGTGCTTAGCGTATTTTTAGCTGATGCTTTTCTTTGTTCATAGTCTTAGTTCATATCTTAGATCTTATTATTGTTTTTCTTTTACAATTTATTGCTGGATGCAACTGGAACCCTGTGTGCATAATTTTGTTCCACCACATGTACCACATGTGATGCGAATGACAATAAAGAATATCTGTATTTATAGTGTTTTTCTCCTTCCAAGCTGGACTATGTTGGTGTAACCCCCTACACCGCTTCTGGCAAGGCCACACTCATACAATTCAAGTGACACAATAGACAAGCACATGCCAAGTCATGAGGCTCGTTCTCTAAACATCTAATCTCCCCTGTTGTCATAAACACAAAGGAAGACCAGTGGTTGGCCCCTTGAAACTAACAAAACATTACTGGGAAAAAAAAGTTTTTTGTTCAAACAGAGTATTGTTTATGAAGGCGTCAAGACAAACTAAAAAAAAAAAAAACCTAACTAAAAATGTACTGGTACGTTTTTTTTTCCCTTTTCCGTTTTCAAGTCAATTCATCTTTCACCTGTTCCACCTGTCAATTTCATTTTGTACAAGACATGATGAGAATTGAAGAGAACCTAAACAGATTAGTTCAAGGTTATGAAGTGTCCCGAAATAAGCCTTTTTTAAATTATACAGCCATGTTCCAGTGTGTTGCGTCAAATTTATTCTATATCACATAAAAACAACAAAAGTTGACCAAAGTGCTTTACAATTCAGTCAAACAAAAACAGACACTAAACATAGACATCTCCTGGAGGGAATAAATCATAAATAGTCTCGACAACAGGAAGTTCGTCTCTCAAAACTTAATTTACAATTTGTACCTTCCTAAAGATGAATAATTTAACAGTATTCTGAGTAAATGCATCACAATAGTTTATCCCTGTCTGGCATTAAAGAGGAAAAAAAATTCAGGCATAATTGTCCAAAGAAATAGATATTACTGGTAATGTTTAAAACACTGTGATTATAAACCCAAACACGGCTTGTGAATAGAATTAAAAACTCTTTACTACAACACAGATTCTCTGAAAACTCGGTCAGTTTTCTATTTCAAGCATTCACATCATACAGAAAACATTGACACTGTGCTGAGGTCACTGTTATTACACCTTACAGATACCGGTGGTTATGTTGGGCAACAGACTGAATCCTCTGATCTTAAAACAGAAATTTCAGATTAGCACACCTAAAGAGCTACACAAGAGCTCCCTCTATAAGCAACAGCACATTTCTCCTGACAGAGCAGTTTGATTTCACCAGAGATATTTACTGCATTCTGTATCTTTATCCTACATGATGGCACACATGCATTCACATTGATACAAACCAGAAATAAGAACTTCTTTTGATGGAAGCGGCTTGTAAAAGCTGAATAAATTGTTCTCAGAAATTCAGAGAATATCCGGAAAATACATCTTCTAAAACACGGACAAATAACCTTTTCTTTAAGCTGTAGTTTTGTTTGATCTTTGTGGTTGAAATGCCTAAAAAAGACTGAAACAGAAGTTACGAGTTTTTACCCGACATTCTGACTTCAATGTAATAAAATAAAAAGCAAGACAAACTGAGTAATTTAGATTGGAAACAAACAAAAACGCTCAACACAATCAAGAACCAAAGCTGAATGTCCTATCAAATCAAAAAGCAACTTACTAATTGTGAATAGACTTCTGGTCCTCTTTACTGACAGAGATAGATTCACTTCATGTGTTTTGTAGATTTGTGTAATTGCAGTGGATTATTTTGTATAATTTAACATTAAGCATGAGGGAGACTAAACGCTTGCCTTCTGAAAGTGATTATTCGCATTGACCTCTAATGTTGAAAGCACTTGTCATGTTTTGGAGGGGGACTTTTTGTATTTCAATCTATAAAAAAAACTATTTTTTAGAATACAGACTTTTTTTTATCAACAAGAAGGGTGCCTGGTATGTCCTAAACTTTGTATTTTATGGACTTTTAGTGTAGTCATTGATATTTGATTAGAATAACGCATTTCTTAATATTTCCACTTCCTTTGGGGTCGTAGTCACAGCACAGTCACTCTAAAAGCAAACAGTCCCTAACTGTAGACATTTATGTTTCCACCTTCACATTTAAAGAATTAGGTTTCAGGCCTCCTAAGCCCTTCAGTTAACTCCGTTCAGAAAGCATGTTTTAAACCAGTTTTGACTAACATTTACTTTTTGTCCACGGTTGGGTTTTTTTTTTTTTAAGATGACTCTTCCTGCCTGGCTCGCTGTGAAAAGGCGGAGCTGCTGTCAGGTCAAGCTTTGTCTTTAGAACATGTAGATAAAGTTAGGAGTTGGGTAGCGGGTAAAAGATTTACTAACGAGGCTGAAATGAGAGGGAGAGGCTAAAGACTAGCCCGGTTAATCGAGCCACGCTGCGCTGCTCAGGTTCAGGCCTTCTTGTTCTTGTGTCACGCTGCGGTTGTCAGCTGGTTCCCACTAAGACACGGTTAACTCATTAACTTCGGGTACAACTTCGCCGTCACTACGGCCCTCAACTCCGCACCTCAACACAGCCAGTACTGTATTTCACAGCACGTCCTAGTGTTCAAGTGACCGCTGGTGGACGTTTTAAAAACCCACCGGCACTCACAACTGTCACTGGAGCTGGCGCAACGAAACGCTTGAATGCTAAAATCCTAGCACACGACGTTCAGAACCGTCGGTCCATATTCATCAGCCGCCGCGTCATAATTTTACCTCACCGTTGCTCACGGTAGACTTAGTTGATTCGCTCCCCTGCGTCGCCATCTTTCTTCGTCTCTATCGCGTACAGTGCCGCTGCTCGCTGGCCGTTTCACCCATAGAAATATATACGTCTATGGTTTTTACCAACCGGCACTCACAACTGTCACTGGAGCAACGAAATACTCAAAGGCTAAAATCCACGTACATGACGTTCAGAACCGTCGACTCGGTCCATATTCATCAGCCGAGGCGAGTAAATAACGCCGCTGTGAGAGTGTCATTGATTTTACCTCGCCGTTGCTCACGGTAGATTTAGTTGATTCGCTCTCCTGCGTCGCCATCTTTCTTCGACTCTCTCGCGCACACACTACTGCCGCTGCTGCTAGCTGGGGCTCGGAGGGAGGGGGGAGTGGGGTGCGGGAATCGCGCGAAATCTCGCGAGAATTCAAATGCAGCGTCACTGTAGTGACGTCCGCGGTCTGTGGGGGAATGATGAAAAATGTAATTTCTAATAAATATTGCAGGGGGCTTTCTTGTCATGACTGGATGATGAAAGTGCGCGAAACATCGTGCTTGGTCATGCAGACGTCACTTTAAAGATTAAGAGCCTGAGTGAAAGTGGGTGAGCTTGTAAAAAAATTAAAAATGGAAGGATGTTAATTTGAATATTGTCATTGCTGTACAGTATATAGGATTTTAATTCAAATCTTGTACTCAAGCTGTACTGCCTTTCTTTAACAAAAGCTACAAATATGAGAATAGAACCCACTTTAATCAACTGTGCTATAGATTTTATGGATTTTCTGTGTTGCATTGTCCTCATTTGTCTATCTTCTGTGTCATTACATAAATAATTAAAAGCCTAGCTTTCTATAACATATCACCTTTCATGCCAGTGCTTTAGAGAAAAAAAATATTATTTTCAGAAATTGTAGAATTATTCTGGTTAAACCTTTAAGCAAAATTCAGTGCAATCGTGATTGTTCCCATGATACTTGTAGTATGTGTTGTGAATGAGGCTCAGCTACTACCACACCAAATTTTAGCTCAGTATCTGTAACATTCACTAAAGTAAACCCACTTTTGTGTAGGTTAAAGTTGAAGCTATGACGGATTGTACAGACTTGGGTTTTTTCCAAAAGTTAATAGACGTGCAGCCAATTATTACTTTGAGTTTTATTAATATTTGTTCCGTGGTTCATGAGATATTTTGCTAACACAGTTTATTCTAATGATACTGGCCAAGTTTTCAGTTCCAGTTTGCACAGAGTACAAGTTGGGAATCAGTCTGTTACTACCACACCAAATTTCAGCTCAATATCTATAAAAATATCCTGATGCATGCTCAAAGGTAGAAAAATTTAAAAAAGTTAAGTCTGGTCCTCTGGACATTCAAAAAAGAAAAAAATATATATTATTATTTTTTGAATGTCCAGAGGACCAGACTTAACTTTTTTAGAATATCTATAAAACTGAGAGGTGGCGCAGAGGTTAGAGAAGGTGGGCCTGATCACCGGTTCTACTCCCGGTATACTGACAACATCATGAGGGTGGGATAGGTGGAGCACCCACCCACCTGCCTCCATCCTCATTTGCCCCTCTCTGGGCCCTTGAGCAAAGCCTTAAACCCTAACCATCTGCTCCCCCGGATGCCCTAGGTCAGGGGTCTGCAGGGGGCCACATGCAGCTCTTTGATCCCTCGGTAGCTTTTTCAAACTTTGACCAAAACTGACATCAAACTGCATTTTATTGGTTATAAAAACAACAAAAAATGATTAGTTCAAACAGTTTTCCTGTCATTTCTTTTGCAAATATGTGAACACTGGAGTGAGTACAAGGAGTAAAACATACTTTAACTTGATGCTTTATTTCTTTATATGAAGAACTGTGCAGCTTATAGAATTTTTAATTACAAAAGATGAAAACTAATCCCCCCCCCCCTTTTTTCAAAAAACTGGTCTTTTTTTTTAATAAATGTTAAGAATCCAACATTTTTCAGTCAGGTCATCTGGACAGTTTCTTTTTTTTTTTGTGCTGAAACGTTTCGCCTTCGATCTGGAAGGCTTCATCAGTCAAGGAAACACAACACAAAAATGTTAAGAATCATTACCGGTGAAGTGTTTTTTTTCTGTCGCCCATACTGGCCACAAAAGCCCCCTCCAGCAAACTTAAAGTGGCTCACGGGCCACCAGTTGATAACCACAGGTTGTTGCGGCTCCAGACAAGTTTAATGTAGTAAACGAAGGCGTAAAAATGGCTCTTTTAATTGTAAAGGTTGCAGACCCCTGCACTAGATAGCTCTCTGCTCCACGCAGAGGGCTGTGGTAGCTCGGTGGTCTCGGTTAGGTCAAGAAGAGCATCCGGCGTAAAAAATCCTCACCAAATCTTCAAGCGAATTAGTTCGCTGTGGTGACCCCTGAAGAAGGGAGCAACCAAAATAAAAATAAAACTGAGTTATACGCAGTGTTGCGTTTACAGAGTTTGTTTTTCAGTGATGGCCATCTTTAATGGAACTCATACAGGCAATAGTGTATTACAAATTAAATGTTTTGCATGCATTGGAGAAATGCATACCACCTTCCAAATAAACTACTTTTCAATATACGCTTTACAAAAATTTAAATCATCTCATAATCGTTAAGAGCTTGAAAGTACATGTTGGGTATGACTCTCAGCTTCTACAACTAATTCAAGGTTGGGGTGGGGAAGAATGAAAGGTTTAGAACATGATGGTGAAACCTGATATGATGTATGGATGGTGGCACAAAAAAAAGACGAGACAGAGTTGTTGCAATCTGATCGTTTTTATATTTTAACTTTTGGCACACAGTAACACCAGCACTTCAGAGATCAACGGAGAATTCAAAAAAATATATGTCCAGAAAAAATATTTTATAGCAAAGACATCACAATAATTTACATTTTCTCTGTTTTAGAAAACAAAAAGAACATTTTGTTAATTCGACAAGCACATTTTCCAAAGTTGAGTTGTGATCTTGAAAACGGAGCGAGTAACAAAACTATTACGTGAGCAAAAAGACGTGAAGTTTAGCATTTCATTTGAACATATAGTACAATGAAAAATTGGACAATACTATTAAAATGCTATTTGAAGTATTTCAACATAAACACAATACATTAAGAAAATTTCAATTTCCTAAGAAATTGTGCTAAAAGTGAACAGAACTGTGCAAAAGTCTCGAGCCACTTTGTTTCTCTTTATTCAAACTTGCTTCAGTTGTTTAAGATACGCAGTACTTTGAAAATAATGTGACGTAACCACAAGTTGAGGACAAATTAGAAACAGGAGGTCTAAGGTGAATTATGTCTTTAAATAACACAAATCCAGCAAAGAATGAACAAAGTTCAAATTTCTGGTCCATTGATCAATACGTCCATTCTCATTTTGCATTTTTAAGAATCAACATTTTTCATTTGTGTAAAGACACTTTCCCACGACTTTCGTCCCCTGAACAACAAACTACAGACTTTAGCATAGCAGTGTTCACTCACAACTGGACCATTTTACAAACTACACGTGAACAAAAGAAATTAAAGATATGTTTTGTTTACTGCGGGTGTGTCTAAAAGCAGTAGTAGTGCCAAGTACAGCAATATGAAGCAAAACTAAAAGTTTACTATAAATCAAAAGAGCAAATTAAAAACATGGAGCTGTGTTTCTCAGGAGCACAATGAGCACTACAGTTTATGGTGACCTTAGGCCTGACTTTCAAGAAAAAATACACATTCAAACAGAGTACAGAACTAAAGTAACATCAAATGAGATGAACTGGTTACACAAGTAATTTGTCAACGTGTGTTAGTGTAACTTTTCCATTTATTCAACATGAGACGATTACAAAGAAATGTACAGTCCACCAGGACTACGGTTAATTATGAATGTTTGCATATAGTCATTTTAAGCACACTGACATGGATCAAAAATAAAAATTTAAGCAGTAAAGTTAACACTAAATATATTAGAGGTGCATGGAGTGAAATAACAAAATCCATTAATAGGTTGAAGTTCCTTTCTGAAACACTTAAAGACTGAATTCGTTGTGATTTTCTTATTATAATTTCAACTTGAAGATTGCCTTGTTCTATGTTGCAGGAAAAAACTAAACATGACGTTTAAGTGCTTTTTGATCACACTCTTCAGAAAAGCACAAAAAAACAAAAAAAACCTTGAAGTTGCAGGAAAATGACTCTCCTTCTGATTTATGAGCAGAAGATGCTTCAATATCAGGTCAAAGGACTGACCAAAATAAAGAAAAATAAGTTTTAACCAGTTCTACATCTCATCTAAACCGTAATCCTCCTCAGGGAAGTCTCCCACCGTCACAGTCATCGGCTTCACAAACCCTCCGTATTTGTTCTCGCATTCAAAGTACTTTTTCCCCTGAACCCTATGAAGACAAACAAAAAATAAATAAAAATCAGGCGACATTATTTCAAACATTTCTGTTACAATTGGCGGAGAAATAAAAATCGAATGCCCCTACGTTCCGTCGTGCTTTCCTAGGGGCTCGTCATACTTCACACCCACCCAGTAACCAGGCTTGAAATCTGTTGTGCCTGAAACATATATGAAATGTTTTTATATGAAACAAATCTCAGTAAATTATTTTAAAAATACAAATATGCTTTTGTTCTTTATCTTCAAAAAATGTTTTATTACAGTTCAGTGCATGCACATTATACATTTTTCCCTTTTTGTACTTCACCCTCCGTTTCATGACTTGTCCCTTCCAACAAAATGCCTGACCCGCAGTGTTTACATGCACCAATATCCCAGTTTTAATCATACTCCTGGGCCCTGAACCACAAACCAAGTTTGAAAGCTTTGAAAAGTTTCCTACTTCAAGTTGAACTCTGAGTTTTCTGAGTCATAAAGCAGCTTAATTTATTACCAGTGTGTAAGAAAACTCAAGTCAGTAAGTACAGCAGATAAAAGTTTGAGAAAAGAGATCAACACATTTTAAAGCACCTCTGGTTCTGACTTATAGAAGAGGATCTGTACCCCGAAGCGTGGCTGATGCACAAGGGGCACTATGTCCACCAACACTGCTCAGAAGTGTGAAGAAAATGGATGAAGCAGACGACCCAAAGACACTTTAGACACATTGAACCTGGTTTTATTATAGCGGCCCTAGATTCAGTGTTTATATGAAAATAAATTAATGAATAAATTAATCCATCCTTTTTATTTCTCCTCTCTGGATCATATGGCAGCTGGTGCCTCTCTCCAGCAGTCACTGTGCGAGAGGCGGGGTACACCTTGGACAGGTCGCAAGTCCATCACGGGGACAAATGGAGGAAAATGAGACAAACAACCATTTACATTCTCACCTGAGGACAATTTAGTTTTAGGGCAGCACGGTGGCGCAACTGGTAGAGCTGCTGCCTCTCAGCGAGCAGGTCCTTAGTTCAAACCCCGGTCCAGGGGCCTTTCTGGGTGGAGTTTGCATGTTCTCTCCGTGCGTGCGTGGGTTTTCTCCGGGTACTCCAGTTTCCTCCCACAGTCCAAAAACATGCATGTTAGGCTGATTGGTAACTCTAAATTGTCCATAGGTGTGAGTGAGAGAGTGAATGGTTGTTTGTCTCGTTTGTCTCTATGTGGCCCTGTGATGGACTTGCGACCCGTCCAGGGTGTACCCCGCCCCTCGCACAGTGATTGCTGGACATGGGCACCAGCGACCCCCGTGACCCAAAAATGGAATAAGCGGGTAAAGATAATGGATGGATGGATATGTTTTTGGTCTGTGGGGGAAACTGGAGTACCCGGAAAAAAAACACCCACGCACGGAGAGAAGATGCAAACTCTATTCAGACAGGCTCCAGGCCAGGAGGAGATCTGGTGATCACTTCTAACCACTGCGCCTCTGTGTTGAATGCATGGAGGTGATCTATAAACCTGGTTCATTAAAAGCCAATTAAATTGCCATGTCCCAATCATGTACTTATCTAATTAGTTAAATAACAGTCTATCAAAAAATACAATAAACAACTCAAAAGTTACTTTAAGTCATTTTTAACTAGTGAAGCACCTCGTTCCTGCCTGACTGCTCACACAAATGAGAGAAACAGGCCTTAGTCACCACAGCTTACAATAAAAACTGTTTTGTTTCGGGAGTATAATGTTTTGAACTAATGTTCCAAAAAACTAAAACCTCTAAGCTTTAGCTACACTTACCAACATACATGACAGTGCCAAGTTTCGTGGGTTGCCCAGAAACCTCCACTTTACAGCGGTTGCCCACAGAAATGGCATCAGCAGCAGACTTCTGTTGTTCTTCCTGAGCAGTGAGCTCAGATTTCTTCTTAGCAACCAGATCCTCGTTGTAATGACCGAACTGGTGTTTTTTCATAAATGACCTTGCAGAGTCTCAAGAAAAAACATATTTCCATGTTAAACACTTGTTACCATTAAAGCAATCAACAGTAAATCATCTATTAAGTTGTATGCATCACCTGATTGATATTTAGCTGATCTTTTTCAGTTTGCTAATAATTATTGACTAGTAAATTCAGAAAAAAGCTTCAATATTCACAGTGAATAAAATCACTAGATTTTGTTAAAATTTGAAATGATTTAAAAAATGCTCATTTTGGCAACAATTAATTTTATAGTCTATTAATTTAATTTGTTTTTGGAGAGTAAAGTGAAGAACTCTGATACCTGTCCTTTGACCATATGCTTCATTTGAGAGCTCAAACTTTTCCACTTTGGAAACGTCAAACAATTCGCCCACCTGACCACTTTTATCAATAACCTGTGAAGGAAATGAGAAACACATCAGTTTTGCATGTATCTGAGTCAAACAATAACTACTTACACTTAAGAATTAGCAAAGCAAATGTGTTTTTATGTATAAAATTTGATTTATTACGTACAGTAACGTTCATAAAAAATTGAAGACGTCCCACAACAACAGCCAACACATCAATTCACTGCAGATGTGAACGTATTCTTTTTGGCTCGTACTACCTTCGTAAAATAATTAGCAACCAATACACAGGCTTTTTTCTCCTTTTTACTAAACGCTATTTAAAGTCAGAGAAAGGAATGTTGTAAGCTGTTTGAGGACAGGAGGCATCTGCAGAACTTCACCAAAGCTTTGACGTAAAGAATCACATCTGAAGAGTGCTTATATTGTCCTAGACAATAGATAAAGAAAATCCAAAAATGTTTTGAGATCTGGTCAGCCATAATAAATGTACCACTCACATATCTGATCTGCTTTAGCCACAAAAGCAACAAAAAAAGGCAATGATAAGTCAATGTAGCTTCTGATTAAAAGATAAATCTACAGAATAATCATACTAAATCGGTCACAATGTTGTCTATATCAAGATGCTGCAAAACGTTTCTTCTCAGCGTTCAAACTATTGAAGGAAAGAAAACTGGTTGTACTTGAGCTGCAGTATCTATATCATTAGCTGCTCCACAAAACCCCTTAATTTAACCCAATTTTGTGCGTTTCATAGCTTGAAATAAATTTTGACGTTAAAACAGCATGTGAGAAAACTGAACTATAGGGGGCCTTACAGAGTTTTGAGTAGGATGACAGACAAGTGTTCTCAATATTGTGTGTCCTGGAGTTCATATCTGTTTACTGTAGTGTAATTAATCCCTAACAAGTTAATGACAGATAATATGAAGCAAAATAAGAACATCAGCTGATTCCATTGTCTCCATGTTTTTTCACAATCACTGCAGCTGTGGCAGTGGCACTTCGCTGATATGACGAACATTGTGCTTTTAAACTGAATGTGATCTTCAATTTGCTAGGTATTGTTGGTGATATTTTGTTCTCCTATTTCTTGACAAAGCAGTCTCGGGAAATTCTGGCAAGACACTGAATTATCTCTAGTTTGCATAAGTAAGTGAACTTTGTTTTAGCTGTCACCGCTAGTTCCTCCAAAATGGCAGCGTCTTTAGGATTAGAAAATTTGATAAATGAAAACACTATATTACAGGCAATGAGGAATTAATCTTCATGTACATACGTGTATTCTGCAGTTGTTGTCCACAGGATAGGAACCAAGTAAAGCTTCATCGTTGCCCATTTTCTGTAAGAACTTATCAGAGACACTAAAAATTTCCAGATCCATGGAGGAGGCAGGAACACCCACAATCATCTCCAGTTTTCCCTAAGTACAACATGACAGGAGTGCAGACAGTGCAAGTTAGAATGGTCTAGATTATCTACAGAAGCACACTTTGGAACAGATATGTTGTGGGAGTTTTACCTTCAGCTCTGCTACAGTAATTCCTCTGTCAAATTTGCGCTGCGACTCAAAGGAGGACAGGGTGCTGGTCACACGAACTGCCACAACGGAGTTGGTAACTATGACTACTCCGCCGTCCATCCTCCACGACAAGACCTGGAAATGTAAGCAAAATAAGTTGAATGGTATATTTAACTTCAGCTTTATCACTCCATTCATAAATACAATTTAATATTTAAGGTCATGACTGTTATAGACCCCAGACTGAGGCAAATACAGTTTACCAACTTGTGCTCCCTGTTAGTTACCATTTACCATACTCCTTTTCACGTTTAGGTTTAAAAATATTGCTTTAAGCCAAGTAACTCTTTTTCTTCACATTTGAGACAGAAATCTGCTGAGTTAATTTTCTTTTATCTAGCATATCCTTATTTTAAATGGCTCGTTATTTAGCTGCACGCTACTGCTAGCTAGCTCCGTTTTCGGGTTGGTGGTCAGACAGTCATGCTAGGTCCTCCAGCAATGTTCACACAGTTACTTACTTTTTCAACACAGGGAACAACTCGTGAGGACAACAGCCGACAGTATACGTTTTAAAAATCCAGAGTTACTGTAATGCTACAAAAAAAATTGTAAACTTAATGTATTTTCACCGCACTGTCACGCAGCAGTTTCCGTTTACGCCCTATTCTGGAAAGTTCTACCCGCCTTTGCTGAAATTAACCAATCATATTTGAGATCAAATTTATTTGACCAATAGAATTACAACTAGAGGAAACTGGGACCGCCCACTGAAAAGTTGATTGACAACAATAATAACCAATCGTCTGACAAGCCGTGAATGCTAAAGGTTGGTTGAAACAACCATGTAGGGGCGCTTAGAAACAGGGGAAACGCCATTAGAAATGAGAAGAATAAAACTGTCACTATCATACTGGATCAAACTTAAAGGAAATAAAGAAGGAAATCCAGCAGCTATGACTATACAGAACTGTTGGGAGTACGACAAATATCAAGGAAGAGGATTTGGATGGAAAATAAATAAATTAGCAGAAATTTATGGGATAGAAAATATAGAATTTGCTAGGAGTAATCCAAAAAGTGTTATATCACCCTGGCTAATCCCTGAAAGTAAAGTGGACAAAAAATTACTAGAATGGAAAAAAGAATGGAAAGGTAATGAAATAGGGGTGAAATCTAGCAGATATATTAAAGAAAATTATTCCAATTACTTAGAAATCTATACAGATGGATCAAAAAACGATCAGGGAAGGGTGGGAATAGGAGTCTTCATACCAGAATTTGAAGTTAGTATTATCAAAAGAATTACAGATCACCTTTCAGTGTTCACGGCTGAGATGGTGGCAGTTATTTTTAGTTTGGAATGGATTGAGGAGGTTAGACCAGTGGCAATATTCACAGATTCAAAAGCGGTAATAGAAAGTATAAAGTCAAACGGAAACAATAGGAAAGATCTCATTTTAGAAATTCAACATGCATTATTTAGGTTGCACAGAGGAGGAATAGATGTGCATTTTTGTTGGGTGCCAGCACATGAAGGGGTGGAAGGGAATGAAAGGGCGGATGATCTTGCCAAGGCAGCGTTGAAAAGAGAAATAACAGCTAATATTCCATTAGGGAAAGGAGAGGGTAAATCAATTATTAAAAGACAAGAACTAAATAAATGGCAAAAGAGATGGAATGAGGACAAGAAAGGAAGAAAATTATTCAGGATTCAAAAATCAGTTAAAATAACAACGTGTAGAGAAAGAAGTAGAAGAGAGGAGGTGATACTTATGAGACTGAGGGTGGGGCACACATTCCTTAATGACACAATGTTCATATTGGGGAAAAGGAATAACAATAGATGCGAGGAATGTGGGGAAACTGAAAGTGTGGAACATGTATTGATGGATTGCATTAAATATACGGAAGAAAGGGAGAGACTGAAAAGAAAAGTCAAAGAGACAGGGAGAGCTTGGAGTTTAGGAGGAATTTTAGGAAATGAAGGGGAGAAGGATAAGATAAAAGACGTCAGAAAAGCATTGGTTACATATTTGAAAAACATTAACATAAAAAAAAGAATTTAGGGACAGAGGTCATGTGTTGCACACTCTAGCTCAGTAGGTGGCGGTATGCACCTGAAAGCAGTTTGCAATCCGCCAATAAATTAAAAGAAGAAGAAGAAGAATGTAGGGGCGCTGTAATCCAATCTAAACTTCTAAACTAAAAGTTGTGTTTATTTTTCATAAAGAGGTTTTTAGTTGTATTTGGGCCATTTGTATAGATATACACTTAATAGCGCTTTACTAAAAGTAGAATTAAAACCTACTAGGTTTGTAATTTAGGTTAACTGTATGTGTTATCTATTAAATTCAAATACTCCACCTCCCCTTGTAGGAGACAGACATGTATTATGTCAGGAAAACGTTTATTAGCTTGAATTGAGTACTATATAGATGAGAGGAAAGATATTTACATTCCTGAGGCTGTTAAAGGATATGCAGGTCTGCAAAACCAGCCTCAATTCTTATCTTTGAGTCATACATATATCAGAAAAACCACAATAATTTCCATGTTCTTTCCTTGCCCCGCTTTAGTTTCAGGTTTAAACCTGCAGAGTCAGATAAAAGCTGTTAATTTTAATCCATGTGATCATGGGAGAAAGGAAGGGAAAACAAACATGAATTATCACACTTTTGGATCCATTTCAGACATATGCAACTAATGGAAACCTGCTGAATTATTAGTGATTATTTGTACAAAAAGTATTTGCACATAAACCGCTTATTTACGTAGAACAAACCATGGGATATATGGAAAAGTCAAACCGTAACAGTTTAACCAGAACAAATGGGTAGATATTTTTCTTACAACGGCCTTATTCATTACTTAATACACATCACTTTTTATGTGTACAGCACTTTGTTGCAGCTGTGTTTGTTTTAAAGGGCTTCATAAATAAATTATTGTTATTATTATTGAATAATAATTCTACAAAATTATAACCTAAAGCCTATAGATTTGATCCAAACCAGCAATTTATGACTAATCTATTTTTTAAAATCACATAAAAACAGACAAGTAGAACATCTTTAAAAGAATTGAAAAACCACAAAAAACGTTTTCCATTTTCTCGATTAAAAATGAAAGATTACTTCACGTTTTAGCTGATCATTTGACTTTTCTTTCTTTGTAACGTGAGAACTTTTACTTGTGCAGAAGAATCCTGTTGTAGACGAAGGGTTCCTTTCGTCAGGGGTGTAATTTGTGAAAGAAACATGCTTTTTTTTTTTTTTAAATTACACTAAAAGTTATTAGGATTCTGCATCCATTTTTGAGCAAATTTACAAGTCACAAAAAACTGACATGCTTGTTATTAGTATTATTATTCCTATTAGTTTTTGTAGTATGTTTACCTTTATTTCATGCTTGAAAGAAAGCTCATGCCATACCATGATTGCTTGCGAGGGAGGTGGGATTTAAAGCCCTAGTGCACAGACTCTGGTTCCAAAAAATACACCATGGCAGCTAAAATACAACATGGCAGCTTTTGGGTCCTGTAGGCTTTAATTCCTAACAAGAGAAGGTAAAGACAGTTGAGGCCCTTTCACAGAACAGTTCAAGCCTGGCCGTCCTCTGGCTGCCTCAGTTTGAGTTCTGAATGGACCCAGGAGAGGTTGAAGCCAACCTCATACATCACTGTCCTGCAACGCAAGGGGCAAAACAGCAACACATGAAAAGGTAACTCTGCTTTGCAGCTCAAAAACGTGATTAAGTGATGACTTTTGGTCTGTGTGACCAGACCACCCAGTTGTGAGGTTAAACAACAGATTTATTACTGAGGAGACTGATGATGACTTTTGCCTAACTGTATTGTTTCCCTTCCAATTCCGTTCAATTCAGCTTATTTATATAGCACCAGGTCACAACAGGAGTCACCTCAGGGCACTGATCAGTTGGTACTTACCAGGCCAGCACTGTAAATAAGATTTTGTTCTTAGTGTTTATGCTGAAAATAAACAAAGAAAAAACTTTGCATCTGTAGTTTAAATAAAATACAACAGTTTTCAGCCAGTTCATCTGTATGTTTTTTTGTTTTTTTTTAAGAGACTGTCCAGATGACCTGACTGAAAATTGTTGAATTGTATACCTGGATTATTGAGCATGGACTTTTTTGGTTTAAATAAAATAGTTAACTACCAAGAGGATTTCTAAACTGACTTAATTTGTTATGCTTTACGAGGGAGATGTCCATCACAAATTTAACGTGTCACACTTCAGGTCCACCCAGTTGAATTCTGCTTCATGACTATTTTGGTTCCATAATGTTTACTTAATCAGAAAACTCACGTCTGTGTGAGATGTGGCTGGCTCCAGAGGCAGTATAAAGACAGACTGATCTTCACAACCATGTCGCAGAATTGCTTTGCAAAAGAGCCGCCCTTCCGTGTATACGTAATATTTACAGCCTATGGTCAGAACCCCTTATCTCGCTGATCTGCTGCAGCCATATGTCTCACAGCGCCCTCTGAGATCAGCAGACCAGATGCTTTTATTGGTTCTAGGCACCAGTTTTAAGCTCACGAGTAACAGGGCTTTCTCTGTTGCAGGTCCAAGACTGTGGGATGAGATACCGCTGCATGGCAGGCAGGCCCTGGCTAATGAGAGGGGTGGTTTATACCGATTCATAGTCCAAATGGTGTGCATGTAAACACTTAATCTGATCATTTTATTCCGATCATGGAAAACTGACCTGACTGCACATGTGCAACTTGTCTACCTCACGTATTTCTGCCTGGCTAGATGCTAATATGCTGGGGAAGCAAAATTGGACGGTGAATGATACAACATATACTAGAAACTTTGAAAGAGCTCAAAATGATCTGTATTACCTGTAGTTTATTGTAGTAATGTCTCCACTGTCATTATTATTATTGAATAATATGGGTCCATTTTGGTCGCTCAGGTTTGTTTACGTTCATCACGGAAGTAGAACTTCTTCTTCTTCTTCTGTGTTTTTTTAAGGAAAGTTTACCACTCTGCACATGTCAATACTTCTATTCAGAATAAAAGCCCGCTGCATGTAAATGCTCATCATAAACATGTAAACGATACATTTGGATTATACATTTTGGACATGTAAACATGGCTGGTGTTGTCATCATTCTTTGTCAAAAACAGGTCTCTCTTGTAAATGAGTCCCCGAGGCTCAATGGTCTTAACCTGTAAACATGCGCTCTCAGGATATTATTACATGCAGTGTTCCGTCAGTGAGAACTGAACTAGGCAAAAGTGCTTTCTGCTACTCTGCTCGTTTCCTGGAATATCTTGCAAAAAGATCTGAAGCTCTTGACCATGGCCTCTCTAAGTGGCTTCAAACATCTGTTAAGTTCATGGCAAAAACCCAATGCAGACATGTTCCTGTTTTTAAGTTTTCTACACTGCCTTATAATCTAGCTGTTTGTTAGTTTTTTCGCTACTTTTCCTTTTGACTGTCCTTTTGGTTGCTATTGTTTTGATTTGTAAAAAAAAATAAAATAAATAAATTGTACGCCTCTTTTGTGACTGTCTATTGTCATTGTGTTGTTAAATAAATCTTTGTTAAATAATCTTTGTTAAATAAATCAGGTCTCTCTTGTAAATGAGTCCCTGAAAGTCAATGGGATTAACCTGTATAAATAAACCATCATTTTTCAGTCAGGTCATCTGGACAGTTTCCTTTTTTTTTTTTTGTGCTGAAACGTTTCGCTTTCGATCCAGAAGGCTTCATCGGTCAAGGAAACACACAACAAAACTGATTCTTCCTCCAACAGCTTACTCCAAAGTGGAACAAACCAGTTTTGCTTGTGATAAGATGGTCTCTTTGGTACGCCCCCTCCTCCGTTGCCGGCACTCTTCCTTGTTGACAGTCTTGTCAAACTGGTTGAAAACAACAAAGTCCATGCTCAATAATTCAGGTATACAATCCAACATTTTTCAGTCAGGTCATCTGGACAGTTTCTTTATTTTTTCCAGATGACCTGACTGAAAAATGTTGGATTGTATACCTGGATTATTGAGCATGGACTTTGCTGTATAAATAAAGGTTGAATAAATGAAAAAAACTAAAAAGTTTCCTGTGGTCTTTTCCCCCTTCCTCCCCCCTCATGGTGGCGCCCCTGGCTACCAGACACAAATCAAGAGGACTGCTTGCATTTGAAATTAGAAATCAGTTCCAGCTAAACGTGTCTTGTCTACAACAGTTACATGTTTGATTGAATTCTCCATAAGAAGTCTACTGAGACATCTGCAGCGTTTCATCCACCTCCAACGAGAGGGACGCGCCTGGTTTGGGGCTCGCAGGAACATTAATGGTTCGCTCGGCTGCGGAGGAGGACGGGAAAACTCAGAGGCAGTGGGAGGGAGAGACAAGGGGGGAGGAGGAACTACTAGTGGGGAGGAAAAAAAAAAAAAAAAAAGTTAAAGTAAAAATGGCTTCCTTGTCTTCAGAGTCCACAGAACAATCAGAAAGCAGCCCAGAGGAGCCCAAAAAAGAGAAAGACTCCGTCCAGGTTTCGGAACAGCTGCTCCAAAGCTTCCAAAAGTCGGCTCTGAGTTTTTCCACGGACCAGGTTTCGTGTCTCTGCGAGGCCCTTCTGCAGGCGGGCAATGTGGATCGCCTGTGGAGATTTCTCTCCACCGTACCTCCTTCGTCCGAGCTGCTACGTGGCAACGAGACCCTGCTGAAGGCCCAGGCTCTGGTGGCCTTCCACCGGGACGAGTTCAAGGAGCTCTACGCCATCCTGGAGAGCCACGACTTCCACCCGTCCAACCACGGCTTCCTGCAGGACCTGTACCTCAGAGCCCGCTACAAGGAGGCGGAGAGGTCCCGGGGCCGCAGCCTGGGCGCCGTGGACAAGTACCGGCTCAGGAAGAAGTTCCCCCTGCCCAAAACCATCTGGGACGGCGAGGAGACCGTGTACTGCTTCAAGGAGAAGTCGCGCAATGCGCTCAAAGAGTGCTACAAGAGCAACAGGTACCCGACCCCGGACGAGAAGAAAAACCTGGCCAAAGTCACCGGACTGTCCCTGACCCAGGTCAGCAACTGGTTCAAGAACCGCAGGCAGAGGGACAGGACCCCGTCCGGGACCCTCAGCAAAAGGCAAGACACGTTGTTTTCTGCAGCAGCTGCTTTTAACAAACAGGGGGTTTTTTTTTGTTTTGTTTTGTTTTTCCATAAACACAAATAGCCTGCACGTGCACGTGCACATGCAGCAGTGCAAAGTGAGAAAACGCGTTTAAACGAAATGGCTCGGAGTGAGGAGATGGTCTCTTGACAGCAGTGAAGCCACACATCTGAGCGCGTTGCTTTGTTGTGAAATGTGAGATCCAGATGGCCCACAAAGGCTCAAGTTTCCTGAAAGCCTGCACTGCAGAGGGTGACAGAGGTTACAGAGGGGGGAGGTGAGGGGATGCTTCCACACAGGCTGAAATCTGAGCTTACAACTGTTTCATGGTAGATAAGAGACAACAAGGTTATCTTTTCAGTCAACCTTTATTTGTACAGTTGGTCCCATTGAGCCTCGGGGGACTCCTTTATAAGAGACCTGATTTAACAGAGTGATGACAACAGTAGACAATCATAAACACATACTAAATGAGAAGAACAAATGAAAGAAAATGGTAATAAAAAAACCGAAACAAACAGCTAGGCTGTGAAGCGATGTAGAATACTGACAACAGGAACATGTCCGCATTGGTGTTGCCATGAATTTAGCAGTTTAGGGGCGCCCTCGATCTGGCTAAACCTCCGAACAGATGGTTTACAAGAGGTTTCAAGAGTCTGGTCGTGGTTCTTATTTACAGGAGCAGAGATTATGTGTGTTTCAAAATAACTTAAAGTCCCAGAAGACGGATAAATAGATAGGTAGATAAATAGTTTATTAATCCCAGGGGGAAATTTGATGCATGTTCTAATTGTACAGGAAACAAACAAAAAAAAAAAAACACATGAAATACTGTAATTTAAAAAAAAAGAAGCAGAATACACAAATTTGAAAAAATACACTATGCACATGTGCAAGGTGGTAGGGAATAATACATTCATGATTAACTTATACATATGTATATAGGTGTGCGCTGATAAATCGGCCCAGATTTCCTTAATTTTGGGAGATCAGAGATCGGCCGATACTTCCACGAGCAACCGATTTTGCTGTTTTTTGTTGTTTTGTTTGGTAGTTTTAACAACAATTGTCTAAACTTCATTTATATTTCAGAGCACTACCTCATGGCCAGTTAAAACGAGTTTGTATTGTTTCTAGTATATTGTTCAAGTGTATGTTTGTCAATAAAATAAGGATGTAAAATTGAAGGCGCATTGTGACCTTATAACACCTGACAGTGTCGCTTATAAAACTAAATCTGTATCGGCAGGTCAGACCTTTTTAGAGATCGGTGATCAGCCAGAAAACTGATCAGTGCACCCCTAGTATATATACATACACATCTAAGGAATGCATATCACCCACTACCTTTCATGCCAGAGTTTTAGACTAAGACCATTGTAAGATGAGAATTTCAATTCAATTCATAGCGCCAAGTCACAACAGAAGTCCTCTCAGGACATGGAACAGAAACATTCATATATATATACACATATATATATAGATATAGGTAATTAACACTATTTAAGGAATACAGTTTGGGTGAAAACTTGAAAATCACACTACCTGGCCAAAACAATTAAACAGGCCAGCGCCTGGATTCAACTAAGTAAATAGGTACGAGCCTCCCACTGGATAATTACTGCATGAGTGATTCTGTTTCAGCTGGCAACAAGTTATTCAACCCTAACTGTGGGGCAGCTGTGGCTGAGTGGTTAGAGCAGTCATCCTCCAACGGGAGAGTTGGGGGTTCGATTCCACCAGTAGTCACATGCTGAAGTGTCCCTGGGCAAGACACTGACCCACTCATTGCCTCTGATGTGTGTCCCATGGGTGTATGAATGTGATCTAAAGCTCTGATTATTCTTTGTAGAGAAATAGCAGAGTGCTGTATGAATGGGTAAACGAGGACACAGATTGTAGAGTAAAGTGCTTTGAGTATCTTGATAAGATTGAAAGGTGCTGTATAAGTACAGTCCATAAATGATGCAGCGAGTATCTTCTCATTTGTTAAACAACCATATTGAAAGAGTGTGGTTGTGGAAAATATGTTAATCTGTTTCAGAAGGGTCAAATTATTGGCATGCCTCGAGCAGAGAAAACACCTAAAGGAATTGTTGAAATTAGTAGAATCGGGTTAAGAACATCCAATGCATTATTAAAAACTGAAAGGACAGTGGGGAGAGCGCCTCAGAGTAAGAAGAGAGGCGGCTGAAGTGATGCCTAGTGCCTACTGTACAGGCCTGTGGGGGCAGTCTAGGGTGCATTCACACCAGCCCTGTTTAGTCCGCTTTAATCGAACTCTAGCTCGTTTTCCTAGAAAATCCGGTTCGTTTGGGGAGGTGTGAACGCGCCAACGAACTCTGTCACGGAACAAAAAGGCGAACTCTGGCCCGGGCTAAAACCTAGGTCTCGGTCCGGTAGAAGAGAACTCCAGCGCGGTTCGAGTGCAGTGTGAATGTAAACAGACTGGACCCGCTCCACAGGACAAACAAACACGCATTTCTCTGACCTCATATGGAGCCGTCAGCTGCCTTGTGTGGAAAAACAATATTCTCCATGGTCTTCTGTCTCATCTTCTGCTCATGCTAAGTCCATTTTTGAAAAATGACAAAATATAACTCCTAAAACTGCTAAAACTTGATGCCACTTCGTTTTTATTTTTTTTTGGTTCAGGGGGCATGAGACGGCATTTTCACACATAGATTGGTCAAAACAGAGTCCAGACCTTAACCCCATCGAGAACCTTTGGTATGTGCTTGCAGTGGTCTGAATCTCCCGTTATCAATACGAGATCTTTGTAAATAATTAATGCAAATCTGGACAAAAATAAAAGGTGACATCGCAGAAGTTTGTGGAGATGATGCCACAGTGATTGTGTGACGTAATCAAATATTAAGGATTTTAGCCGCTACACTGGCATTGTACATTCTGCACAGTCTGAGATATTAGACTTTGCAACACGTGTTGGTACTCAGAATATGTGTTGAGGATGACTCTCAGGGGCAGCACGGTGGCGCAACTGGTAGAGCTGCTGCCTCTCAGTGAGCAGGTCCTTGGTTCAAACCCCGATTCGGGGGCCTTTCTGGGTGGAGTTTGCATGTTCTCTCCGTGCATGCGTGGGTTTTCTCCGGGTACTCCGGTTTCCTCCCACAGACCAAAAACATGCATGTTAGGCTGATTGGTAACTCTAAATTGTCCCTAGGTGTGAGTGAGAGAGTGAATGGTTGTTTGTCTCGTTTGTCTCTATGTGTCCCTGTGATGGACTTGCGACCATCCAGGGTGTACCCCGCCCCTCGCACAGTGATTGCTGGACATGGGCACCAGCGATCCCCGTGACCCAAAATGGAATAAGCGGGTAAAGATAATGGATGGATGGATGGATGGATGACTCTCAGTTGCTACCACATCAAACTTTAGCTCAAGATCTGTAAACTTCATTAAGTCGCAGCCATTTTTGGATTTGCTAAGGTTAAAGCTGTGGTGGCCATCATGAACTGAGGTGACTTCAAAAGGTTTTTAGTTGTAGATGACGCCCCGTGATTATTTTCTGATGGTTTAGTCTATTCAGTGAGATATTTTCTTAACATGACAGACAAATAAACAGACATGGGGCAAAACATTATGTCCCTTTCCTAATATCTAGTTTTTCAATATATAAAATATGAGATTAGGAAATTATTTCGTTTAATCAACTGCATTCACTTGAGTTGAGATAAAAGTGAAAATATTACACGTTAACTAATAGCTTTTAAAATGTTAGAACGTTTATATTTTTCAGTCTCAAAACTTTTGCTCATTAGCTTGAAGTAATGTAGGCGCAAGAATAACAACCTACCTGTTTAGCTTACCAGTACATATTTATATGGAAATGATCTGCTTTGTGGATATTTAAAAATAAATAAACAGCGCCAAAATAGATTTAAATGTAGAAATTGTGGTTTGAAACACTAAAACAGAAACTTGCATACTTCAGGGAGTTTTGATAGGCAGGTCTAGAGTTGGAGTATGGAGAGCCATTTCATTCAAAATTAAATAAATACATAAATAGTGTTATTTAAAAATTAATAATAAATATTCCAATAAATAAATATATGTTCCCATAAAATTAAACATTTAAATAGAAAATGTGTAGTTTTTTTCCAAGACTTATTTTTTATTATTTCAAAATTTATTTTTTTATTTCAAGATTTATTTTTTCTAATTCAAGATTTATTTATTTACTTATTTATTTAATAATGGAGTTTCATTTTGTGACATTTTTATTTTGTAAAGCTACTTTACATGTTTCAGGGGCTTTTATTTTTTAACCCCGTTTTTTTCACTTTAAACACTTTATTTCATGTTCTTATATTCAAATGAGGGGGTGGGGTTTTCTCGGGGGCGGATCTGATCAGGGTCAATTCAGCCCATCTATGAGTTTTATAGGCCGGGCAAATCAATAACTAAATCAAAAATAAAATTAATGATGGTCTCTCAAGTCTAACACATTGACCGTGAGACGCCCACATTTCATGACGTGCACACGGCACACTTTGTATTTCTCACGCTAAAATACACACGCAGGCCCTTTTTTGAAGCGGAACCAACGTGCAGCACATTGTTTGAGCATGGACTTTGTTGTTAATGTGCAGCGCAATGTTTCTGCACGGGCTGGAGCACAATAGCAGACATGGCTGCAGTGTTGCCAACTTAGCGACTTTCTCACTTTCTTTAGTGAGTTTTTAGACCCCTCTAGTGACTTTTTTTTTTTTTTAAAGCGACTAGAGACAAATCTAGAGACTTTTTTTCTGTGTTACTGGAAACTTTGGTGATGAAAGCACGTTTGGCAGTGGGCCGTAAGCCCCTCCCACTTCCCCAAGCGCTGACAGCTGTCAGTCTAACAGCAGAGAGGAGACCTGCTCCACTCAGTGTCCACACTGCAAATGAATCACACCCTGGAATACAACGCGGGATGTAAATATAATGTAAATATATAATGCTCAATTTCATCAGCAAATCTTTGCATTTCATCTCTGAGTTCTCCAATGTCCTCCATATTGCCCGCTTGTCATCCTGACTTTCTGAACACAGTTAATTCATGATTTAAAGGTAGCTGGACCAAGTAGAGCTCAGTGAGGGGAATACTTTGCTTTGATTGGTCAAAAAAGATTGGAGTACATCCAGACCCGCCCCACAGAGAAAATCCCGCCCCCTCATTTGAATCAGAATCAGAATAAACTTTATTGGCATTGCACCGAGATACAACGCGAATATGTACGTACAGTCGTCCGAAAGATTGGCGGAGTGCACAAAGCTGTGGCTATGAATAAATAGCGTGGCCTTCTTATTCTTATTCAGAATAATATTTTGCTTAGATGAGAAAAGGGAAGAAAACATGGGGAGAGATGGTATAAAAAAAAGATCTCTCACGCCGTGTCCTAGATGGGGCACGATTTGAGGCATCAAAAAAACCTACCACAGCAAAGCAAAATAAACAGACGTTATACATGAACATATAGGCAGTGAAAACATTGAATTTTTAAGGGAAAGTCGTAGCATAGTCCAGAG